GCATAGGCTTAGTAGTTGTGGTGCACGGGCTTAGTTGCTCCGCAGCATGTGGGATCTTCCCAGACCAGGGCTCAAACCTGTGTCCCCTGCATTGGCAGGCAGATTCTTAACCACTGTGCCACCAGGGAAATCCCCTAGCCCATTTCTTTAAAAAAAAACACACATTACTAGGGAGTTGAGAGACCCTTGGAGAACTCTTGAGGAAACAGTGACGAGCCTGTTGTCTCTTTAGTCCCTTGGCAGAGTGTAGAAGGAAGGGCTCTCCCCACCAGGAAGCTGGCTGCAGGTTGCCAGGTGCCACAGTCACCAGGTGCCTTGGGTGGTGTGTTGTTTCTCAGTGAACTGCAGTCATTTCCAGATAGGAGTTGGCTCTTTCTCCACCTTCTGTTCCTTGGGCAGCAGTAAGATTTCTCTTCCTTAATGCATGATGATGGCTAGGTGTGGGGTTGCTTGTGGAATTCTGGGGGATAGAAGGAATGGGGGAAATCAAGCTGAGTAGGTGATTCAGTATTCATGTTTGGCATAAAACCATAAAACCATTCATGTTTGGCATAAAACCATGGCATAAAACCATGTTAAGGATGATAGTGGATGTTTTCTTATGACTGATGGAATAATAAAGTTGAGTGATTAGAGAAAGCTGGGAAACACTTCAAGAACCAGCTCAAATTTCTCAAGTAACGATGTCAGTTTTGGCTATTTGTGGTGATGATGTTTTTCATATTTAAGTGTTCATATTTGTAAGTGTTCATATTCTGGATATACTAATCCTTTACTATTTATATTGTTAATAGCATCTAGTCTGTAGCTTATTTCTTAACGTTGCTCACAGTGCTCTTTAATGTAAAAAAAAATCTGTAATTTCATTTTAGTCAGTTTAAGCAATCTTTCACATTGTTTGATAGTCTTTTATTTCATGAGTGAAAAAGTGAGAGGACATAGGAAAGGCATATTTTAAAGATTGGGGTGTGGTTTTCATCAGCATCTTTGGGCTTAATTTGGATTTTTAAAATTTTGATTTTGTGAAATTATTCTAGACATTACCTTGTCTGTAAGATTTTAGTGAAGCCAAGTATTCACTTTACATTTTCTCTCATTTCTTTATATCTTATTCAGAAATTAAACTAGAATCTTTCAACATTTCAGCCTTAGTCTGTCTTTTTTCCTTTGCTCAGAAGTTCCTACCTTGTGGCTGATTTGCTGAGAACTTGGTAATTCTTGCCTGTTGTTGCAGAGATGGCCAGAAATCTTCATCATCATGCTGAGCAGAGTCAAAATTAAATCTGTCTGCAACAGAGGGCTAGAATTTCAGATGGGCTGAAAAGAGGTGTAGTTGTGTTTACAAATGACTGTTTCTTTAGTATTTTGGCCTTGATTGTGCTATAAGCAGTGGTTCTCTACAGGGATTGATTTTGCCCCCAGGGAGACCTTTGGCAATGTATAGAGACATTTTTGGTTGTCACAACTGGGAAGATGCTACTAGAATCTAGTAGATGGGGGTGGGGCTGGGATGCTGCTGAACACCCTACGATATACAGGAGAGCCTCCGACAACAAAGGATTACCCAATCCCAAATGTCCGCAGGGCCAAGATTGAGAACCCCTGTGCAGTCTTGGTATCTTTTACAAATGATTTGCAGTTGTTCCCCAGCCCTGTGAGAGCTAAGTGGAAAGCCTGGCCCTTTCTTTTCTTCATGTCTTAGGTTGTTTAATAAGTTAGTTAGAGTGATATCAGTCCCCTTGCTCTCAGATCTCACTTTAAAAGATGTGTTTAATTTAGAATTCTCTAGTGACTTTTAGCATTAATGCTGTGAAGAGTTATTTCTTCCCAAGGAGCAACTATGATGAGAATTTTTTTCCCTCTCAAACTGGCTTCTATGACTATTTTGAAGGTGAATCACATTTTGGTTTGTGTGAGTTTTTAACTTTTTAAGGCTTATTGGCAAATATATTGGCTTGTCATGACATATATTGAGTCAGGGAAAGCTCGGTCCACAGAGAACATCAATATGCACTCATAAATGATGATATATTGAAGATATTGAACATAAACATACTGAATAGGAACTGGTATACTTCGGTGGATTTTTTATTCATATGTGTTTTTCTCTAGTGGCAGTTTTTTTTAATAGAAACAAGCTCATTTTGAAAAATTCAACGTATATTTATTGAGCATCTGTTAGACAGCTGGCATTTTTGTTAGGCTTGAGGGATATAGTGGAGAATGAGATGGAAAGAATCCCTGCCTTCAAGGAGCTACAGTCTAAAAGGAGAGGTTCTTGATAAGAACCCTGTAAATAATAAAGAAAGGGAATAAGCCCCAGGGGTTGGGAGGAAGGGCCTATTTTAGCCAGTGTGTTGGTTGTGGCAGTGGTGGTAAGGCTCTCTGAGGATGTAGCATCTATGCTTCAAAGAATCAACTTATGGTTTTGCTTTTGCTCTTTAAAGTATGTTTTCCTCTGCTTTTTATTGTTTTCTTCCTACTGCTTTCTTTGGGTTTAGTTTCCTGTTCTTTTTCTAATTTTTTGAAAAGAAAATTTATTTACATCATTGATTTTCACTCTCTGTTTTTTTGGGTTTTTTTTTGCGGTACGCGGGCCTCTCCTGTTGGGGAGCACAGGCTCTGGTCGCGCAGGCTCAGCGGCCATGGCTCACGGGCCCAGCCGCTCCGCGGCATGTGGGATCTTCCCGGACCGGAGCACGAACCCGTGTCCCCTGCATCGGCAGGCAGACTCTCAACCACTGCGCCACCAGGGAAGCCCTACTGTCTGGTTTTTTTTGCTTTTTTTTGCTGCCCTTTGCCTCATGCGGGATCTTAGTTCCCCGAACAGGGATTGAACCTGTGCCCCCTATATTGGGATCATGGAGTCTTAACCTCTGGACCACTCTCTGTTACTTTTTGACATTAATTTAAGGCTATGAATTTCTTTTTAAGAATAACTTAGAAATATCACACGATTTTTAAAAATCAACTTTATTATATAATTTACATAAAGTAAAGTTCACATTTTTTTACCAGTGCGGGTCGATGATTGTTGACAAATGTATGTACCCATGTTATCATCACCCTAATCAAGATACAGAAAATATCCATTTTCCCAGAAAGTTCTCTCATGCCCGTTTGTAGTCAATTTTCCAGGCAACCACTGAACTGATTTCTGTCATTATAGGTTAGCTTTGCCTGTTCTAGCATTTTATATACATGGAATTATACAATACATATTCTTTTGTCTTTGGCCTCCTGCTCAGCATAATGTCTGTGAGATTCATATGTATTGTTGCATATGATCATAGTTTGTTCTTTTTTATTGCTGAGTAGTATTCCAATTGCATGAATATATTACCCCTTGTTTATACATTTATCTGTTGGTGGACATTTAATCTTATGAATGAACCTGCTCTGAACATTCCTGTAAAGTTGATTTTTTAAAAAAATTAGAGATATGTTTTTCATTTATTTTATTTTATTTTTATTTATTTTATTTTTTTGGCTGCATCAGGTCTTTGTTGCTGTGCACAGGCTTCTCTCTTGTTGTGGCATGCAGGCTTCTCTCTAGCTGTGATGTGCAGGCTCCAGGGCACGTGAGTTCTGTAGTTGTGGTGCACAGGGTCCAGAGCGCTCTCTCGTTGAGGCACGCAAGCTCAGTAGTTGTGGCATGTGGACTTAGTTGCCCCGCGGCATGTGGGATCTTAGTTCCCCAACCAGAGATCGAATCCGTGTCCCCTGCATTGGAAGGTGGATTCTTTACCGCTGGACCACCAGGGAAGTCCCTGTTTTCATTTCTTTTAGATAAAATATCAATAAGTGAATTACTGGGTCATATGGTAGGTGTATGTTTAACTTTATAAGAAACTGCCAAAATGTTTTCCAACATGACTGTACCTCTTCACACTCCTGTCAGTAGTACGTGAGAGTTCCAGGTGCCCCTCACCACAGTGAGACCAGCTACCATCCATCACCATACAAAATTGTTACAGTATTATTGACTATATTCCCTATACATGTACATTACATCCCCATGACTTATTTATTTTATAGCTGGAAGTTTGTACCTCTTAATCCCCTTCGCCTATTTCCTCTGTCTCCCCATACCCCCTCTGACAACCACCAGTTTGTTCTCTGTATCTATGAGTCTATTTCTGTTTCATTTTGTTTGTTCCTGTTTTGTTTTTTAGATTCCACATACAAGTGAAATATGGTATTTGTTTTTCTCTGACTTATTTCACTTATACCCGCCAGGTCGATCCATGTTGCAACAAATGGCAAGATTTCATTCTTTTTCATGGTTGCGCAGCATTCTCTGCCTCTGGAATCTTGTCCCTTCAACTCCTGGTTGTCTCAGCATCTCTTCAATGCCTTCAAAAGAGTTTTGTTGTTGTTTGTTTGTTTAAATTTGCTAACATATTCCTAGCTGTTCTTGGTGCCACCTTTGGTTTGCCTCACGCTATTCCGTCTTAGCTGGAAGCAGAAGCACCAAGCCAACATTAAAAAAAAAAAAAGTGTGTGTGTTTTTTTGAGATATAATTCACCACTTTAAAGTATACAATTCAGTGGGTTTTAGTATATTCACAAGGTTGTGCAACCATCTCCACTTTCTAATATCAGAACATCCTCACCACCCCAAAAAGAAACCCTGTTACCTGTAAGCAGACACTCCTATTATCCTCTCCCTCAGCCCTTGGCAACCACTGTCCTACTTTCTGTCTGTATAGATGTACCTGTTCTGTGCATTTCTGTAAATGGAATCATACAATATGCTGCCTTTTGTGTCTAACTTTAACTTAGCATAACAACTAAGTCAACTCTGCGTGTGTGGTAAAATATATGTAACGTAAAATTTAGCATTTTAGCTATTTTTAAGTGTACAATACTGTGGCATTAAGTACATTCACATTGTTGTTGCAACCATCACCACTGTCTATCACCAAAATGTTTTCATCATCCCATTCTGAAACTCTGTACCCATTAAACAATTACTCCCCATTCCCTTCTCCCCCCAGCCCTTGCGAACCTTGAGAACCACGATTCTACATTCTGTCTCTATGATTTTAACTACTGTAAGTACCTCATATAAGTGGAGTCATATAGTATTTGTCTTTTTGTGACTGGCTTATTTCACTTAACATAATGTCCTGATTTATCCATGTGGTAGCATGKGTCAGAATTTCCTTCCTTTTGTAAGGAATAATATTCCATTGTATGTCTATATCACATTTTGCTTGTCCTTTCCTCTGTCTGTGGGTACTTGGGCTGCTGTGAACGTGAATGTATAAATATTTCTTTGAGATCCTACTTTCAGTTCTTTTGAGTGTATATCTAGGAGTGGAATGGCTAGATCATATGGTAATTCTATGTTTAATTTTTTGAGGAATTGCCATACTGTTTTCCACAGCAGCTGTACCATTTTACATTCCCACCAACAGTGCATAAGGTTTCTAATTTCTCCACATCCTTGCTAACACTTGTGTTTTTAATAGTAGCTATCCTAATGGGTGTGAGATGGTATGTTATTGTAGTTTTGATTTACAGTTCACTAATGATTAGTGATGCCGAACATCTTGTCATGTGCTTTTTGGCCATTCGTATATCTTCTTTGGGGAAATGACTGTTCATATCCTTTGCCCATTTTTTAATCAGTTTTTTCTTTTGTTATTGAGTTTTAAGAGGTCTCTTTGTGTTCTGGGTATTAATCTCTTAATAAATATATAATTTGCAAATTCTATGTGTTGCCATTTCACTCTGTTCACAGTGTCTTTTTTTTTTTAATTTATTTAATTTTGGCTGCATTGGGTCTTCATGCTGCACAGGCTTTCTCTAGTTGCGGCGAGTGGGGGCTACTCTTTGTTGCGTGGCGCAGGCTTCTCATTATGGTGGCTTCTTTTGTTGCAGAGCATGGGCTCTAGGTGCACGGGCTTCAGTAGATGTGGCCTGCAGGCTCTAGAGTGCAGGCTCAGTAGTTGTGGCGCATGGGCTTAATTGCTCCATGGCATGTGGGATCTTCCTGGACCAGGGCTTGAACCTGGCAGGCGGATTCTTAACTACTGCACCACCAGGGAAGCCCTGTTCATAGTGTCTTTTGATGTGCAAAATTTTAAAGTTTTCATGAAGTCCAGTTTGTTTGTTTGTTTGTTTGTTTCTCTTTTATTGCCTATGCTTTTGGTGTCATATCTAAGAAATCATTGCCAAATCCAATGTCATGAAGTTTTCCCCCTATGTTTTTCTTCTAAGAGTTTCGTAGTTTTAGGCTTTACAGTTAGGTCTTTGATCCATTTTAGTTAATTTTTGTATATGGTAAGGGTCCAGTTTCATTTTTCTGCATGTGGATATCCAGCTTCCTGGTACCATTTGGCAAAGTAACTGCCCTTTTCCTATAGAATGGTATTGGCAGTTTTGTTGAAAATCATTTTGGCCATATATGTGAGAGTTTATTTCTGGGCTCTATTCTATTGCATTGATCTATAGATCTCTATTTATGCCAGTATCACACTGTTTTGATTACTGTAGCTTTGTTGCAAGTTTTGAAATCAGGAATTGTGAGTCCTCCACCTTTGTTCGTTTTCAGGATTGTTTCTGCCTGTTTTTGTAAATAAAGTTTTACTGGAACAGAGCTGCACTCATTCACTCATTTGTTTACGTATGGTTGCTTTTGAGCTACAACAGCACAGTTAAGTAGTTGCAACAGAGACCTTATGGCCCACAAAATCTAAAGTATTTACTCTCTGACTCTTTATAGAAAAAGCTTGCCAATCCCTGAACATTAATACTCTTTGCTCATTTCCCCAGCTGTAGTGGATTATACCACAGATATGTAAATCAAAAGGAAAAATAATTCGTACAAGGGTGCTTATGCCAGTATAGATGTGAATGAAAAATAAAGTACAGCCCAAATGCCCAGCTGCAGGGGAATGACAAAATATTCTGTGGTATGCTGTTAGCTTGCATTAAAATGACATGTGGACTATATCAAAGAAATATTTATATATAAAACAAGTGATTAAAAGTAGAACACAAGGGCTTCCCTGGTGGCGCAGTGGTTGAGAGTCCGCCTGCCAATGCAGGGAACACGGGTTCGTGCCCCGGTCCGGGAAGATCCCACATGCCGCGGAGCGGCTAGACCCGTGAGCCATGGCCGCTGAGCCTGTGCTTCCGGAGCGTGTGCTCCACAACGGGAGAGGCCACAACAGGGAAAAAAAAAAAAAAGTAGAACACAAAATGATGTGTACCGCAAAAAAAAAAAAAGTAGAACACAAAATGATGTGTATTTGTTGATTACCAGTATAAAATAAATGTATATTACCAAATGTGGAAAAGTTGAGACCTAAATAGTTTAGAGGTTAGTGCCTGTTACATTTTATTTTCCATTAAAACTTTAAAGTTAAAAAAACTGTAAATTTTTTATTCTGGAAAATCTCAAACATAATAAAAAAATAGACATAGTTTTGTTGTTTTGTTTTGGGTTTTTTTTGCGTTATGCAGGCCTCTCACTGTTTGTGGCCTGTCCCGTTGCAGAGCACAGGCTCTTTATCATACCTAATTTTTTAAAATCAATAATTCCTTATATCATAAAATATCCAGATAATCCCTGATTATCTTTAAAAAATATTTTTACTGTTAATTTATTAAAATCCCTACAAGGTCTACATTTAGTTGATTTGTCTTTTAAATCTCTTTAGCATATAAACTTTTTAAGTACAGCTAAGATATAACCTACCTCTTTTTTGTTTTCTTTTTCTCCTTGCAACTTATTTATAGAAGAAAAGGATTCACTTGTTCTGCAGTTGCACACATTTCTAGACTTTGCAGATTGTACCCCTATGGTCTTGTTTATCAAGTTTAACATAGTCCTTTGTTCCCTGTATTTTTGCAAACTGGGAATGAGATATCAAGGTGTGTTCAGGTTCAGGTTCAGTGTTTATTTTATTTTATTTTATTTTATTTTATTTTTTTATTTTTTGCTGTACACGGGCCTCTCACTGCTGTGGCCTCTCCCGTTGCGGAGCACAGGCTCCAGACGCGCAGGCTCAGCGGCCATGGCTCACGGGCCTAGCCGTTCCACGGCATGTGGAATCCTCCTGGACCGGGGCACAAACCCATGTCCCCTGCATCGGCAGGCGGACTCTCAACCACTGCGCCACCAGGGAAGACCAGGTTGAGTGTTTTGACACACATACATCATAGGTTGTCGTGCACATATTCTACCACATCACGTCGGGAGGTACATGGTAAGACTTGGAATCCACTGATCTTTGTTTATATAGATGAGATTGAGGAGGAAGAAGAAATGGAATAGCTGGAGAAAGGGCCCTGGAAGTGTTTGTACCTTATACCCCTAATGAATGAAATGTAGGTTTTTTTTTTTCAAAGCTACTCATTTGACTATCATATTTGTTGTGATGGTGTTCATAACTTGTTCCTGAGAAGCTTATGTAAGTGTTCATTGGTGTTTATATAACTCTAGTGATCACTGCTCACAGCTGGCTTGCATGAGGGAGAAAGTTCAGAGGTATCTGCCACCAGGTCTGATTCCATGATCCTGAACTTGGGTGGTAGTAGTCACTGACTTTTAAACCATGAAGACACTAATTTTCCTTTGTCAAAGCACATGTCTCTACCTCCTTGTTGAATCTTTAATCTTTTTTCCTCAGTGACTTTTGGTGGATTATACTCTAGAATTTTGGGGTGGGCTATTTTTTGAAAGTTAAATTAATTATTTCGGTTAGGTTGTAAATTCACATGGTTCAATATTCAGAAGGTACAAAAGAGCACAGTGAAAAGTTATATTTTGACTTAGGGAAATAGCAGTTGTATTATTAAGAATAGTTTAAGATGTAGTGTATATTATAATGTTATGTAGAAACCAGAAACTTCACCGTAAGCATTATGAAGCAGTAATGAAGCACTTGTAAAACACTGACTTACATGACAACAAATTTTAAATATTAGCACATCCATAAACTAAAGCCCCTTTAACAAGCAAATAGTAGTTGTTGAACACAGAAGCTAAGGATTCAAAGAATGCTAGGTGGTAAGGAGCTGATTTAGACCTGTATCCTGTATATAAAGGAAAGGGGAAACCTGTGTCTGAACTCAATGTGCATGAGAATTGTATATACTGTTTGATCATTTAAAAATTACTACTGTGCTTGGCTACATTCAACCCATGCCAGACAGAAATTCACAGCCAAGCCTCACAAGTTGGAATGTCTGATAGTGAATTTGTGACATTCAAAGACTATCAGGTTTTGTTCTTCCTCCTCCCAGGAACAGCCCACTCTGCAAGGTAGAAACCAGAAGAAATAAATACAATAGTTGGCAACAAGTTCCCACTGCCCAACAGATCAAGTTCAAACCCTTTAGACCGATATTCAAGGCCTGCCGTCTATACTCTGACTCTGTTCTGCCTACTCTGTAGCCTTGCCTCCAGGTGTTCCTCCAAGTGGTTACTCAATAAATTTGCTTGTGAAATAGAAACAAAACAAAAGGCCTTAAGGCCAGGAGACCATCAAAGGTCATTATCTAACCAGGTCAAGGGACCCAGCAAAACACCAAGTTGAAGTGTGCCAACACAGCCCTGAGCCTGCTGTCTAGCCATCTATTCCTTTGGGAGGAAAAATTTGATGGCCTCCCAATTAGGAGGGAAGAATTCAGGGCTGTGAGTTAGGAGGAAGGTGACAATAGTACTATATGACAATGCTATGGAAGTATTAGCTCTTTGGAGGAGTGGGAGGCCTGAAGGAATGATAGTCTTTAAGGAAGACCAAGAGTTGCTGAGCTTTCCTCCTATAGGGCTTCAGATGGAAATGAGAGAGGACTGTTTAAGGAGGGTAGTGAATTTGGGAAGACAACTAGCCAGACTTGCAGTTCTACTTTGGAGCTTCTCTTTTAGTTCTCATGTTTGACTGGACACAGGAGCGATGGCACCTTGTCTCCTCAGCAGGTGGAACACGTCCATGAGCCAAGGCCACTTAACCACCCTGGACTCTGCTGTCTTTAGGAGGCCTTTTTTATAAAATGCCTGCTGTGGACCTAGTGGTAATGGAGAGGGGATTGTTTTAACCTCTTGCTCCTGTTAATGATATTGCAGTGTCCCGTCATGAACATTCTTTGGTGCCTCCCTTGACCATTTCCCCTTTGCTGTTCAAAAAGCAAAGGTTATCTACCTGAAATCTTTAGTGGTCTCTCCGTGTAAGAGTCAAGGAAGATGCTTCCAGTGCTGCTTCAGGGGAGTGAATCAACCTGGGCATTCACATGTGAGTGTGTGTGTGTGCATGCACACAGGTCCACACCCACCATCTCCCTCCACCCAGTTTTTACAATGGCCACATTAGCTTCCCCTCCCTACCCAAACACCAGGCAATGGGATATAGAATGCTAGGAATAAAAGGCCTTGGAATTAGTCTTCCCTGGAACAGGGATTGACTTCTGTGCCAGCATCCAAGAAACTTGGCCTGTACCTCTGGTCTGTACCTAAGTTATCCTTGGACAAGGGGCTCCTGGGAAGAGACAGGGAAGTGGTTGTTGGGTTGGAAGGCCACTCGTGCTGCTATTTTGCTTAGTTCATTTTAGCCAATATTGAACTGCATGTACTTTCCTAACCATTCCACCTTGTTTAGAGTATTCCTTTTGCTTATGCTCCTCTACCTGTCTAGAATGTTCTTTTTTTCCTTCCTTTTCTAGCTGGTGCCTACCCATTCTGTTAGATTAAACCCAAGTCTCACCTTTCCCGAGGAAGCGCCCCCATAACCAGTGATAGGCAAGACTAGATTGTGTCCTTTCCCCAAGTGTTATTGCTGTTAGGCATTCCACTGTATACGTATACACATGTTTCCCCACGTGGACCATTCCATCGTGCCTTGGCACAGGGCCTGATACATAGCAGATGCTCAAATGTATGTTAGGCTAAACTAAAAGCAGGGGATGGGAGAGGGAACAGTGTCTGGTTTGCGGCAGTCTCAAGTGGAAAGGTTTAGAATGTGGAGGGGTGTGTGCGTGTAAGAAACACTCATTTTGTAACAACAAAATGCTGTTTTCATATGTCATTTCTGCTTCTCCCTTTGCTTTCTTATTTCTGATCTTTGGTTAGGATATATAACTGAAGTTTGAGTTCTCCATACAAATAAATACTGCTACCTGGCATGGCTGACCAAGCTCCAGAGCTTTGTGCGCTGCCAGACTGTTGAATGTGGTTGTGGGAGTATGGAGTTTGGCAGACCAGGGTTTAAAGAATAATATTTTCCATGAGAGAGCTATTTACATCCTCATTTACACACGTAGGAACTATGGCTCAGAGAAGTTGAACCCATGAACATAGAGCTAGTAAGTGACAAAGCCAGGATTTAACACCAGGATTGCCTGACTACAAAGCTTATTCTCATAACTGTCTGCTCCTGTTTTCCTGCTTATTTCCTGTATACCCATAGGCAAATCTTTTTAACTTTTTAGGGCTTCAGTTTATCATATTTATTTATTTTTAAAATTTATTTATTTATTTTTGGCTGCTTTGGGTCTTCGTTGCTGTGCACAGGCTTTCTTTAGTTGCAGCGAGCGAGGCTACTCTTCGTTGTGGTACGTGGGCTTCTCATTGCGGTGGCTTCTCTTGTTGTGGAGCACGGCCTCTAGGCGCACGGGCTTCAGTAGTTGTGGCACGCGGGCTTCAGTAGTTGTGGTGCATGGGCTTAGTTGTTCCACGGCATGTGGGATCTTCCCGGACCAGGGCTCGAACCCGTGTCACCTGTATTGGCAGGCAGATTCTTAACCACTGAGCCACCAGGGAAGTCCCAGTTTATCATATTTAGAATGAAGGGAGCAAAACTTACCTTGTAGAGTTATTGTAGGAAAGAAAGAAGAAAAGAAACCAAACCCATTCTTTGTACCTGGAATAGTGGTAGTCATAGTAAAAGCAGCAGCTGTTTTATACAATGTTTACTGTGTGCCAGGCATTGTCTTAGCGCTTTATCTAGGCTATCTCATGTAATCATCACTACAACCCTCTGAGACTGAGGAATAACACTACAGTTGTTATTCCCTTTTTATAATTGAGGAACAGAAAGGTTATAATAAGGGGTAGAGTTGGTGTTCACACCCCAGCAGTCTGGCTTCAGTGTCTATACTGAACCCCTGTGCTCTGTTATCTCTTGCGAAACATTAGTTTCCAGCTCCATGTTGTTCTAGAATCTGACATTAATATGAAATAGACCATAGGGAACCCAGAATGGTAATAGGGCCAGGAGGGGCTACACCAAGCCATGGAAGGTGAGCAGTAACAGAATGTCTGGGACACTCATGATTCTCTGACTCAGCCACTGACTGGTGAGACGGCCCTTTGGTATTTTTTGGTGGTTGAGTGCATAGGATGATGACCCATGGTAAGTCTTTTTTTCAGCTTGGGGATATCAGCTTACTGGTTCACTCATTGAGGTCTGTGGCAGCCCTGGCCTCCCTTTACCAAAGTCTACAGGGTTGCATGTTTCTTCTTGAGTCCATACTGACATGTGTTTTTTGTTTTGTTTTGTTTTTTGCGGCACGCGGGCCTCTCACTGTTGTGGCCTCTCCCGTTGCGGAGCACAGCCTCCGGACGCGCAGGCTCAGCGGCCATGGCTCACGGGCCCAGCCGCTCTGCGGCATGTGGGATCCTCCTGGACCGGGGCACGAACCCGTGTCCCCTGCATCAGCAGGCGGACTCTCAACCACTGCGCCACCAGGGAAGCCCTGACATGTTTTTTTAAATGTTGAATATATAAATGAGGGAGAAGGGACAAATCTCCCTTACAGAAAAATTGCAGATAATAAATGTAGATGGAAAGAGGGAAATAGAAAACCACCATTAGAACACCACAGTAATAATTGCTCTAGGTAAGATCCACTGATGAATGTTATAATTAGTGGATGAAACTTTTAAGGATATTTGTGTTCTGAAAGCCTCAAATAACGCCCCCCAAGCTTTTTTGTATGTGGTTTTAATATATGTCCAGAAATTCTTTGATGCCCCTCCCTCCAGGAAATGGAGCTTAATTCTCTTCCCCCTGAATGTGGGCCAGGCTTAGTGATTGGCCTCTTAAGAATAAAATATGGAAAGGGAAACATAGTAATTTTACAGTGGAGAAATCTGGCAGACACCACTTCAAGGTTAATGTCACCAGTAATAAGTCATGTTGATATCATGTACCCTGATAAGATGTGATGAGAAGAGCACTTCACCTCTGTGGTATTCTTTCCTAAAAGTCATAACCCCAATCTAATCATCAGACAAACCCAAATTGGGGGACAGTCTACAAAACACCTGACCAGTACTCTTCAAAAAAGTATCAAGGTTGGGAGTTCCCTGGTGGTCCAGTGGTTTGGATTTGGCGTTGTCACTGCCGGAGCCTGGGTTCAAACTTAGGGAACTAAGATTGCACAAGTCCCTTGGTAGGGACAAAAAAAAAAAAAAATCAACGTCATGAAAGACAAGAATAGGCTGAGAAACTGCTGCAGTTTAGGGAAGACTAAAAAGACATGAAAGCTAAACACAATATAGTATCCTAGATAGGATCCTATAACAGAAAAAGACACTAGTGGAAAACTGGTAAATCCAAAATAACAAACAAAAATAATACCAACAAAAAACAAAACTTCCTGAGTCCTTCCTGCCTGAGAGCCAAGTGGCATGGACTAGAGCACCTCAGTTTCAGCATTTCTGTTCTTATTCTGAATTCCTCTTACCTTTGGGAAAGACCTTTTGGTTGTGTAGTGCTTGTATCTGGGAGGCTGTGGCAGACTTGGGGACAGGTCTTTGTGATTGTCAAAGCCTGCCCATCCAGTGAACAGAATGCAGCTCAGCAAATGAGGAGAGGGATGTGCACATAGACCCCAGTTCTTGCTGGTGGTTGATACCACAAACGACATTCCCTCTGTCAGGAATTTCTTCCCCTTTTTCCCCTGTCCCCAAGGCAATAATACCATTAGACATTCTGTTCATCTTTTAAATTCTCACTTACATTTTACCTCCCATATAATTCCTTGTGTGATCATACCATGAAATAGTACCTTTCATAGCCCAATTATTCTTGGTTTAGCTAATTACCTTTGGCTGAAAAATGGTACCTTAAACTTTGAAGGTCTTTAGGTCAGTTTCCCTGCCCCTCTTGTATTTAGCACACCTTGCCTTATTATGTCTAGAAAACAAACTCCTTAAAGGGAAGGAATTTAGAAATATTCCTTGAAGCATCTAGGACAGTGCTTGCCATGTTGTAATCCCTCATTAAATGGTTGGTAAATTGAATGAATCCTTTAATACACTGAAGGGAGGAGTGGTCTCCCTGTTGGCAGATGAGACTTGCTTAGAGTCATACAAATGAGTGTGAGCTGTATTGGGAACTCAGTTGTCCCTTTCTGAGTAGTCTGAGACCATGACACTTCCTCACTCTGATCATAGTGCTAAATTATATCAAGAGTGATGGCTATCATTTGTTGTGAGCCTACTCTGGGGGCCAGGCCTGGTTCTAAGCATGCACACTATTTAGTCCTCACAACAGGTCTGCAGTGTGGACATTACTATACTCATTTTATAGATAAGTCCATTGAGGTTCAGAGAGATGTAACTTGCTTTATTGGATCACCAGCTAATAAGTTGCTGAGTTGAGATTTGAACCCTGGTGTGTCTGGCATCAAAACCCACTCTTCCTCCAGTAAAGGTTGGTCCCTGGCACCTCTTTCCCTTTGTCTCTTCAGACCCATCCCTGGAAGACATGTGTGGCACTGAGTGTGCCCAGCTGGGGGAAGATGGGCAGCGGCCACCGCGGTGCACTTCAACTACCTCATCTCAGTCTGAGCCTTCAGAGCAGCTTAGGCGCCACCAAGGCAAGAGCCTTGCCTCCGAGGACCCCAAAAAGAAGAGAGCTCAGAAGCCCTCCCACATGAGGAGAAACATACGGTGAGCTATGCTCTGGGTAAGAGGGGAAGAGAGGGAATAGAAGTATTACCTTCATTTGAAGGCTGTCAGTAGCAAAAGGACTGGTTTGAGCAGGAGAGTCCGATTTCCCAAGGAGAAAAGTATAAGTTGTGTGCCCCAATTAATAGTGAAGATGCAGCTCAGGACCACTGGGTCTGGGCTATCAGAGGATACAGGGCTGAAGTGGATGGCACTCGAGCACCCCTGGAGAGTGTCCTACTCTTTGGAGGCCCGGGAAGCAGCCATAGCATGCTCTGGTTGGACTCTGGTTTCTTCCTTTATTTTTTCCTTATGTCTCAAAATAAGAGGAGATAAAAGAAGTTGAGTTCTTATTTTCTTAGAACTCAACATCAGTTGGAAGACAACTGTCTGGTCCAAAGCAGGGCTTCTTCCTTGAGCTAAGAGATCAGCAGATGTGAACTTCCTTAACTATCCAAATCCCCAATAGTCCTTTCTTCTACCAATGACAATTTTGCTGTTGAAAGGAGATAAATATTTTTTTCCTCCTACCCTCATTTTTTTTTTAAACATAATGATGACTTGAAAATTTACTTTAAGTTTGGGAAATAAGGATGTAGAATCATCCATAATCCTACTTTCCCATATAACACCTCTGTTTTTTATACTGCTTTCCAGCTTTATGAATTACATATTACTCTATTTCACTCTTGATCTGTTATGTGCAGAGATGATTCAGCAGGGGCACCTGTCAGGAAGTTAAATAATATGAAAAACATATTAGCCCAGAACCACCTGAGCCTTGAAGTCCCATTTATTTTTTTACCTTGCCCATTTCATGGGTGTAGTGGGACTGATATGGCTTCTCCCACCTCAGCTCTCTGAGCCCAGCAATGATGGTTTCCCTCTTTATCTTGACATTACATTGCCCAAATCTCAAGTGAACCCAAGTACTCTCTCTTATTTAAATGTTTAGCAAGCTGCTCCGGGAGGATCAGTTGGAGCCAGTTACCAAAGCAGCACAACAGGAAGAATTGGAAAGAAGAAAACGCCTGGAACAGCAGAGGAAGGATTACGCAGCCCCCATTCCCACCGTTCCCCTGGAGTTCCTTCCCGGTAAGCAGTGGAGGTGGCAGGAAAGGCCCCGCGCTGCAGGGAGAAGAGACCCTCAGTGCACACTGTGGTGAAGGACAGAGCTGGAATAAGATGGTGGCCTCTCAGGAATCCTTTCAATCCATTCAGTTTCTTAGAAGCACATGATCAGAAGGATCTCATTTGAAAAGTAAGATGGATAAAAATGTACCTCCTCAAATTGATGTTATTTAGATTTTCATCCATAACTTTGGATGTTAACATGCCAAGGGATTAGGACATTTTCTAGTGGTCAGGTGAATACTAGGAAGTAAGAGCCAGTAGAGAAAAGGGAATTTGGGAAGAAGACTGGGGTTTTTCAGATGCCCTCTACTTGTCTTCTCAGGGGATAGTTCCCCAGAGAGCAACAAAGGAGGAGGATGGCAAATCATTTGGGAAAATATGTTTGAGCTAAATGTGGTTTTGACATTCCCTTCCATCTTTTTTTCCCCAGAGGAAATTGTCTTAAGAGCAAGTGATGGACCCCAACTGCCTCCTCGGGTCTTGACCCAGGAAGTGATTTGTTTGGACAGTAGCAGTGGCAGTGAGGATGAAAAAAGCAGTCGAGATGGTAAGATTGAGCCAGAGGTGCCCCTCCTTCCTCCTGACCCAGTGTTTGCCCTGAGAGATTGGCTGTACCTTTGAATAGAAGATTGTTCAGTCCTTCCTCATTCAGTCTGGGGTCTGACTGTGACAAATTTCCCTGAGTCTCCTTGGTAAATATAAGTTTTCCCCTTGTCTTAACATGAAGCTAAAAGAGAGAAATAATAGAAACAAAAATTTTTACAAGTGATAACAAGTTCTAACTTTGTTTCCATGCTCTCCTGTTTTAACAACGAGCAGTAAATTATCTCTGCTTCCTGAGTTTTTGTTGTGTTTTGTTGGCTGCCTCAGAGGTGATTGAATTGAGCTCTGGAGAGGAGGACACTCTGCACATTGTGGACAGCAGTGAGTCTGTCAGTGAGGAGGATGAGGAAGAGGAGAAAGGAGGCACCCATGTGAATGACGTCTTAAACCAGCGCGATGCTCTGGGGCGGGTCCTTGTCAACTTGAACCACCCTCCGGAGGAGGAGAATGTCTTCCTGGCCCCGCAGTTGGCACGGGCAGTGAAACCGCATCAGGTACAGCAAATCTGGACTCTTCTCTTGGTCTCCTTTCAGCTTCCTTGCTGTGGACGTCACCCGCATCACAGCCTGTGAAGTACTTGTTTGGTACCATGAGCAGCTATTGGAAAGGCCTGATTCTTCCTCCTAGCAGTTGATGCTTCAGGATTCCTGATGAATGGGAAGGGACAAGCCTGAGAGATGCCCTATCATGTAGAAGGTGCTAATCTTTTGGCTGAATAATCTTGAGCCTCCTTCTGTGAGATCTGAAAGACTGATTGAGATACTCTCTGGAGAGCAGTGCTTTGATTAGGGAGTTGTGGCTCTGGAAGAGATGTGAGAACTCAGAAGTCTGAGGGACTTTCTGATAGGAAGGATCAGAGTAGTTTGTGTTGACCCAGAACCTGGAACCAGGACCAGTGAGTGAAAGCTCTGTGAAGGCAGAGGTTGACTCAACGTAAGAACTCTTAACAGTAAGAATAGCTCCTCGTGAAATGGGCTGCCTTGAGGTGAGCAGCCAAGGTCAGCCAGACCAAGCCTAAGTGAAGGACCCAGTCAGGAATTTGGTACTCAAGATTCTTGCCTCAGATGGGCCACTATACCAGGGGAATGCTTTTCTGTGTTTTCTCCGAGAAGAACGTCACCAGCCAATAAACTAGTCAGGGTTCAGGGAAACTTCTGCAGCCATCCACACCAGCTCTCTGGTATAATGTCTGCTCATTTACTTAATTCTGACTACTTCCAAAGTAAGTAAACTAGACCCCTGGTCTTTGCCAGCCAAAGATATTTGTTTGTGTTTGTTCCCTGTCAGATTGGTGGGATCCGGTTCCTGTATGATAACCTGGTTGAGTCCTTGGAGCGATTTAAGACCAGTAGTGGCTTTGGCTGTATCCTGGCCCACAGCATGGGACTGGGGAAAACTTTGCAAGTGATCTCCTTCATCGATGTCCTCTTCCGCCACACGCCAGCCAAAACCGTCCTTGCCATTGTGCCGGTAAGTGGGAAGGCACCACTTGGTCACCCCTCTGCAGAGCTCTGGAGTAATGCCTTACTGGGCACTAAAAAGCCTTATGAGCTCAGCTCTGAGCTTGTTCCCTAAAACTCTCTTTTTGGACTTGACTTTCTGATAGGTTAATACTCTTCAGAACTGGCTGGCAGAGTTCAACATGTGGCTCCCAGCTCCTGAAGCCCTTCCAGCTGACAACAAGCCTGAAGAAGTCCAGCCTCGGTTCTTTAAAGTTCACATCTTGAATGATGAGCACAAGTAGGTGGCCTGCCCTCTCCTCTCTGCCCCTTTCCTTTTATTTTTTTTATTATTATTTTAAAATTTTTATTTATTTTATTTATTTACTTTTGGCTGGCTTGGGTCTTCGTTGCTGTGCGCAGGCCTTCTCTAGTTGCGGTGAGCAAGGGCTACTCTTTGTTGCAGTGTGCAGGCTTCTCGTTGCGGTGGCTTCTCTTGTTGCAGAGTGCGGGCTTCAGTAGTTGCGGCACATGGGCTCAGTAGTTGTGGCTCACGGGCTCTAGAGCGCAGGCTCAGTAGTTGTGGTGCACGGGCTTAATTGCTCCATGGCATGTGGGACCTTCCCGGATCAGGGCTTGAATCTGTGTCCCCTGCATTGGCAGGCAGATTCTTAACCACTGCGCCACCAGGGAAGGTCCCCCCCTTTCCTTTTAGACTTCTTCCCAGGATCTGGATGTCAAGGCAGTCTATCTGGGTATGTGCCTGTCCTCCCAGATTCCTTTTGGTTTCTTGATGTATCCCCCTCTCTCTTCTTGCTACTCATTTTTTCTCTGCCTAGTTTTTCAGTAAAGTCAGAGTCATGTAGCCTGGAAAATTTCTTGTATTCTGCTTGAAGATGTTTTTATATCCTGAAAAATCTGTGTACATGGTCACGTTTTCCCACGTGTATAGTAATAAAATTCAACATGATAAAATGAAACTTTCCATCTCCTAACTTTTCACCTCTTACATTTATCTTTTATTAGAAACCTAATCACCAGTCTCTTCTTTTAAGCACCAATCTATATTTGACCTTTAACAGTACAACTTCCAGGCTTTGAAAGGTGCAAACCTTTTTTTGTTTCAGATTTAAAGAAAATTATTTATATTTCCATTCCGTAAATTCAACCTGGTTTCCAAAAATCTAAAGCTATTTCTTGATCCAAGCCAGCAATCCATGCTACCCTTTCCCCTCGTTGATATGGATAATTGAGAAGGTAGACTTTCTTTTCTGCAGAGACCACCTTTTGTGATGTTTGGTCACACACATCAAAATGAGGAGACTATGAGTGGCCCCACTGGTGGCTGATCACCTGCTCTTTCCTAGATTTCAGGACTGTCAGTCCACACAGCAGTCAATGAAATACAGCCAGGGCTCAATTGTTTAGGAGTAGAGGGACTGTGCTGAGTGGCATCCGGTCTCTGCTGTTCTTTTTCCTTTACTGTGCGTCCTTGGCTCTTCATTCACGAGGACCTGGGCAGGTGAAAGGCAGAATGTTGCCCTTGCTTTTACTACTTAGTATTCATTGTGGGAATAACTTGAAATTCTCCCTCAAATGTAGAATTGTAGTCATGAATGTACATCCAGGGAGGTTGTCACTTTTGCTTGTCTTGTGCCATTGAATTTCTGTTTTTTGTTATTTAACCGTCATCAGTGAACCAGTCCATCCTTAGTGCAATTAGTGTCTCTAGAATGGTGGGAAAGTCCTTGGGCAGCTGGCCAGCCCTGTGATGCTGCCACATGAAGTCTTTGGCAATAAGGACTTCTGAATGTACATGAACACAGCTTTGACTGTGAGGAATTTTTCCTGGGGAGCAGGGGAAGCAATAATACTTTCTTTCTGTTCACTCTTGCAGGACAATGGCAGCTCGTGCTAAAGTGATGGCTGATTGGGTGTCAGAGGGTGGGGTGCTGCTGATGGGGTACGAAATGTACAGACTCCTCACCCTGAAGAAATCCTTTGCCACAGGTAGACCGAAGAAAACCAAGAAACGTTCTCACCCGGTCATCATTGATCTGGATGAGGAAGATCGACAGCAGGAGTTTCGAAGAGGTGAGCAGCCTCTCTGGGAATACTCTAAAGGGTGATCCAGGGGAAAAGAAGTAGTGTCTGCTATAGCACCTAGTCAAATGGGAAGCATTATTGATGTGAGTTGTATTGACATGAACCAGAAATCCTGGTCCCCGAGGTAGGTGGGATGACCTGCACTGGCTCTCAGAAGGTATTGCTTTCTCTGCAGGCAGTGGAATTCTGGGTAGGCCAGGCCACAGGCTGGCATGGGGGAGACTCCCCTGTGTCTTTCATAGAATAGTTAGAAGAGTAACTGCTCCCTTCACCACTTCCCAGAGATGTTGTGAGATAGCATTAAGAAAATATAAAGTATTTAAATCGCTAATATACAGAGTAGTAATAATGTTGTTTGTGGATTTATAAAAGAAGAATTTATCCCAATTTTCTTGTTTTTTGGTGAAAGCCATTTTTCTCATAGTTCTAGTTCTGTTCCCTCTTCTATGGGCCCTTGGTCTATTTGGGGAAGAAAATTTTTTTTAAGGTTCAGAGGCTGTTTCATTTTATAGATCTCTTCATCTATGAGATTCTGTTTTTTGGGTTTGCTTCTGTGGCTGAATTTGCCATTTAGCGTTGACTGGCGAGTAACTCCAGGAAGACCTTGTGCTTTAGTTAGTTCCCACCAGCCAGCTCTCAGATGGCACCAAGACAATGGTGAGAGCCAGTGGAAGTGTCTGGATTATTCCCATCAAAATCATCCAGACTCATTTTTAATCCTAGGCTGGTACTCTGTAAAGTCATGCTGTCTGCTACCTAGTTGGTATAAGCCCTAGGAATGCAAGTCAGTTTTACTCTTAGCCTAAAGGGAAAAAAATTAAGGAAAGGAAAGAGGGAAAAGGGATATTTACTGCAAGAGTCAATAGGCCAGGTTAATGTGTCACACCAAATGCACAGGAGCTTGAATGGCTGGCTCCCTTTCACCAATGGGGGCTGACTCTTGCTTTCCTGCTTCCTTCATTTCTTCTGTCTCCTCCAGGGTGCACCCCTACTTCTCATATTGTTGACTAAGAGCAGACCCTCTCACCCTCTTACTCCGGATCCTCTTCCCTCCCTAGAGTTTGAGAAGGCCTTATGCCGCCCTGGCCCTGATGTGGTAATCTGTGACGAGGGACACCGCATCAAAAACTGCCAGGCCAGCACCTCACAGGCCCTGAAGAACATTCGCTCTCGCCGCCGGGTGGTGCTGACTGGATACCCCCTGCAGAACAACCTCATCGAGTACTGGTGCATGGTGGACTTTGTGCGCCCAGACTTCCTTGGCACCCGGCAGGAGTTCAGCAACATGTTTGAGCGCCCCATCCTGAATGGACAGTGTATTGACAGCACGCCTCAGGATGTCCGCCTCATGCGGTACCGGAGCCATGTCCTGCACAGCCTCCTGGAGGGCTTTGTGCAGAGGTGAGCCATCCTCAGGGCTGTGTTTTCTAAATCCTTGGAGAGCCCTGGTGGAATAGACATGACAAGGCTTTCCTGAAGGGGAAAGGTGGTAACAGTGGGAGGGCCCCTTTCTAGTAGGGCAATAGTACAACTTTCCTTTTACTGAATAGCTTTTCCTGAATAGCTAGCAGACGGTGGATATCCAATATTTCAATCTCTGAGTCTGGTCCAGAAGTGCTTTTCTCAGAAGTTAATCTTTGAGGTTACTAGGGATATCTGCCTTACTTGCTGAGAGAAGCAGGAGACAGCTACCATTCTAATGACTTGAGTGAAAGAATAAAGTGGTGGTTCTCAGGGGTATGGCTTCACCAGTTTCAGCATCTTAGAAGATGTAGGTTAGGCCAGTCTGAAGCATCTCCTTGTTTTTCCTTGTTAAGATGGCATGTGTGGAGAAAGCTTAGAGAAGCAGCCCTAGATTAGGGTAAGAACCTGGAGTTCCCAGGTCACTCTGCCTCTTTGCTTTAGTTTTTATACTCAAAATAAGTTTCTTGATGGTTGCTGAGCCAATCCGCATTATGGTAAGGCTGTTGTGAATGTTGAGATCCTAAAGAAGGCGGTGTGGCAGAAATGCAGGGTTCTGTTTTTATCCTGCACTGACCCCTCCTGGGCACACTGCCTTGTCAATTCTGATCTGTACCTTTGTAGGAGAGGCCACACTGTGCTGAAGATTCATCTCCCTGCCAAGGAAGAAAATGTGATCCTGGTGCGACTCTCTAAGATCCAGCGAGATTTGTATACACAGTTCATGGACCGCTTCCGGGACTGTGGTAGCAGCGGCTGGCTGGGGCTGAACCCTCTCAAGGCTTTCTGTGTCTGCTGCAAGGTGTGTTGAGGCCTCAGGGAATACTAAGACACAGACTAAGGATGCTCACGGTCCCAAGGGAGTTGTTCCTGCTGGGAGTCCTTGATAAAGGAAGAAGTTCACTGAATTGAGGGCTCCAAGGCAAGACAGTTCCCGGGAGTGCCACTCATAGACTATAATGTAAATGGTGCCCCTTGCAAATGTGCAACTTGTTATACCAAACTTGAGAAGTCACTTCCTTTCTCACTGATTTTTTTCACCTGAGAAATGGAGTGATGGTGGAACATCGTGGGACAAAATTTTTGACTGCTAGCGTAATCAGGATTCAAGAAATACATAGCATAGACACATTATTAGGGATACCTTCCATTTGATTCTGTATTTAATCAGATCAAGATCTCTTTCATTCTGATAATGCTTAAGATGGTTTGGGGACAGCAAGGCCTAGGTGTCTTTAGCACTGAGCCTCGTGAACAGGTTGATGGACCCTGACTTGTCTTTGACCTGGCCAGATGCTCTCTGTTGCCTCACAAAGGATCTGTTTCTTTGACAGCTCTCAACCAACCTGTTGGATATTATTTCCAATTGAGCACTGCTTTAATAAGTCAGCTGAAGGTGTGTGTCTGGGGACAGATGGGTTTCAAAATATTTCTTTTGTACCCACAGTCCTAGACCAGGGCAAGCAAGCTAAAGCAGACATGGTCTTGGGGATGCTGCGGTGCATACATACCCTTCCCACGCCCCCCCTCTCTTTCCCCTGGAATTCTCAACTCCTGCCACGAATAGTCCGTGAAATGACTTACGGTTGATCATCTGTAAGTTAGATACATTTGTCCATAGGGAGAGATTGGTCTTGTTTCATAGTTTCATACAGTAGTTGGCTGTAGCCACATGGTGAAACAGGAATGTTCTTGTTGTTGCTTAAATAAGAATGCAAGACTTGTGACACAGCCTTTTTGGTTGTGTACCAATCATACTGGCATGCCTCCTGGTGTGAATTCTCCCATTCATGTATCATAGCAATCAGAGTTGGTTACTGAAAATGAATGTGCAGGCTCTTTGACCATGAGGGGGTTGGGGAGACATTAATTTTTGGTGTGACTATGTGCTGTGGGAGGTGTGTGTTTGAATAACTGCATGTTTCCAGACTCCCTGGGACACCCTTAGATTGTTCTCTGCCCTATGCTTCCTCCCCTTTAACTTGAACCTCAGATCTGGAATCACCCCGACGTGCTGTACGAAGCCCTTCAGAAGGAGAACCTGGCCAATGAGCAAGACTTAGACGTGGAAGAGCTTGGTTCATCAGCGACTAGTGCCCGCTGCCCTTCACAGGGAACAAAAGGCAAGAGTGAGGACAGCGCCTCAATGGGAGAGGCGACCAATAGCAAGTTCCTACAAGGGGTCGGCTTTAACCCTTTCCAGGAGCGAGGCAACAACATTGTCACATATGAATGGGTGAGTCAAGCAGATACTTTTGTGGCCATAAACCACTGCTGAGAAGGGATTGTGCAAAGCTTTCGTGGGGAGAGGGTGGGTCTTGCGCAGTGCACTGTACTGCTAAGGTCTGCAGGGAACTATTAAGGTTGTCCGTGAGCTGCTGCCTTTGAGGGAGAGAATTGTATTTCTAGTAATCTGACCATGGACCTGCTCCAAGCTGCCTCATTTCCTCTCCTATAGGCCAAGGACCTTTTGACTAATTACCAGACTGGTGTCTTAGAGAACTCTCCCAAGATGGTACTGCTTTTCCACCTGATTGAGGAAAGTGTGAAGCTTGGAGACAAGATCCTTGTGTTCAGGTAGGAAGAGAAAGTGCCGAGTGTGTGTCTTTGGTAAAGAGTGATACAACCCCTGCAGAGTGAGACCATCCGGGGTTGCACCAGCGCCCTTTTATCTCCATGCCTCTGCAACCAGTGCTTCTTGTGAGGACCTTCTTGCATTTCTTCTCTTTCTTAGAGTTTCTTTTTTTATCCAATGCAATTTCTCTGCAAAGAACAATTTGAAACCTTAGGCTAACATTGGAGATCACAGTCTAATCCTTCAAATTGTGACACAGGCCAAATATGACCTGTGGCCTGTTTTTGTACAGCCTGAGAGCTAGTTTTTACATTTGAAAAGAGTTTTTTTTGTTTTTGTTTTTTTAAAGAAGCATATGCAGGGAATTCCTTGGTGGTCCAGTGGTTAGGACTCTTGCGATCCCACTGCGGGGCACACGGGTTCGATCCCTGGTCAGGGAACTAAGATCCTGTAAGCCACAGGGTGCGGCCAAAAAAAATAAAATAAAAAATTAAAATTAAAAAAAGAGAAGCATATGCAGCAGAGACTGTGTGTGGTCTGCAAAGCCGAAAAATATTTACTCTCTGGTCCTGTACAGAAAACGTTTGCTGACCCCTGGTCTAAACTGCGTCTGTGCCTCCCCAGCCTTTTTTTTTTTTTTTTCTAAGCTTTGTATATAAGGCCAAGTAAATGATGTTTTTTGTTCCAAGTCACATTCTCAGTCTTGCCAGAGCTTTGAGTCCCATCAAGGCCTCACTCCTCAGGGAAACAGACGTAAAGTAGATTGCTTCTCCTTTGTTCCGACTAGATTATGCTCCAGTGAGAGCTAAGTGGCAGGAGCCTGGCTTGGGAGTCTCAGACTGAGGGTTCCCATGTGTAAAATACTTTGAGAGGAAAGCGGTGATTGTAACTTAGGGAGAGCCTAGTGTTACACTGCTTTTATGGACTGGCTCTCTGGATAACTTGGAAGCAACTTAAATGATCTATCTCCTTAGTAAGATCCATAATATTGCCTGTGGCCTATAATTAGATCTAAGGCATATTCATGCAGTGTTGGTTTTTAATGCTGATGCTATTTGTTACTCTGCACTGAGCTAAATCTCAGAATTTTTCAATCGAGGAAGTAATAGGATAGAGAATTTTTTAGTAGGGTGGTGGTAATAATTGTGTGGATGACTCTACTCCCTTATGAGCTAGGGTGGTTCTTTGTGGGGAGTAGGATGTGGGAGCTCCCACTGTCAGAGGGGAGCCTGCTGAGGTGGGCCTGTTGGGGAACAAGATTCCCTTAGGTCCAGGAGCCTTCTGAACCAAATGTGTCCCTTTCAGCCAGAGCCTTTCCACCTTGGCTTTAATCGAGGAGTTCCTAGGCAAACGAGAAGCGCCCTGTCTACCTGGTGCTGAGGGGCAAGGAGTACAGAAGTGGGTTCGAAACGTCAGCTACTTCCGTGAGTTCATTGCTGCTTTCTTCCTGGAGCCTTGGCAAGGTCTGCCTAAGAGTTTCCTTCCCCTCTCTCTCTTCCTTTCTTCTCCTACTCCATTCACCATCACATGAACAAGAATATCTGTGATTGACTAAGGAGCAGAGAGACACTAAGAGCGAGCTGCTTTGTGTGAGGCACTGTCCTGGGCTGGGGAGCTTAAGCCAGATAGGGGGAGCGCAGAGATGTAGAAGACATATGCCTTGTCATCATCTGAGGTGCAGCAACTCAAGGACAGATTCAAAGTAGCACTGATTGATTGCCCTCATGGGGGTTCTAAGGAGGACAGAATCATCATGGTGAGGATGGTTGGAGAAGGCTTCCTGGAGGAGGTGGGACTTGCACTAGACTTGCAGAGATGGGGAGAATTTGAATATACAGAGCTGGTGTGGCCCAAAGATCATCTTAGGCAGAAGGAACAAAGTGAACACAGCCTAGATCATGTATTCAAATTGGGGGAGATGATGTCCCTAAGGGGGTGAAAATTGGTTCTCGAGGAGACAAAAAATCTTAACTTTTTAAGAGTATAAAGCACAAATATGTATATAATGAATAAACATATACAGTATATCTGTGGTGTTAAAATTTTATGGAGGGCATGGTGATTGGGAAAAAATGTGTAAAAAGCCTCCTTAGTGGGGTGGTAATGAAAAAAAAAGTTGAGAAATATTGACTTCAGAGACTTATTGACCAGATATTGACATTTGGGCCAGTTAACTCTTTGTTGTAGGGGGCTGTCCTTTGCATTGTAGGATGTTTAGCAGCATCTCTGTTCTCTACTCACTAGATGGCAGTAGCATCCACAGCGTTATAACAACCCAAACTGTCTCCAAACATTGCCAAATGTTCCCTGTGGGGTAGCAGGGTGGGGAAATCTTCTTGTTGAGAAGCCCTGGCCTAAAGGAAAGATTTAGAGAAATGGAGGTTCAGGGGGTGGTGATGAGACTCCAGCACAGGAGCTAGCCTGGATCCTTGTGTTGACTATAGGCTTGCCCAGTGAGTCAGTGCTGAGCTTTTTTGTGCTTGGAAATTGTGGGAACTCAAGTTGAAAGGTAGATTGGGGTGTTGATTGAGGGAGCCTCTAATACCAGGCAATTAAACTAATGCTTCCTACATTGGTAGTGATTCAGTTCTCCATGTAGTATTTCATACCCTTAGCTTTGCCCTTTTCTCTGCTTTACTATAGGTGGCAAATGTCACCCCTCTCTTCCCTTATTCATGCTTCTTAACTGAAGCTTACCTTTTCTCTTTCTTTTGAGCTTCCCTCTTTTCACTCATATGTCCCATCCCACTGCTCCAGTTCTATTTTTTTTATGTCTCCTTCGAGCAACTTCTTAGCCTTAGGAGCTTGTTAACAATGTGGATTCCTGCGTGGGGGAGGAACATCACCCATATCAAAACACAAAACCCTTGGTCCTTTTGCAGTCACTAGGATTCACAGGACTGAGGCAGAGCAGTTACCTTAAGCCAGTGTTTGCCAGGCTTCCTTAACTAGGGTGATTCTTTTGCACTCTGAAGTCTAGGAACCTTGGCCTTAGAATTGACCCAAGATACTAAAGGGAAAAACACAGTTTATAGTCTTTGTTGCACATGTGAATCACTTGGGGGTATTTTAAAATTATAGATGCCTGGGTCTCATGGTAGATCCCCACGGAATGTCCAGGGTGTGGAAGCTGAGCACTGTAGTGTGTGTTTGTTTTGTTTTAAACACATTTGCCCATTGATTTTGCTGTATACCACTGCCTCATCTGTCCATTTCTTGTGTATTTCCTTCTGTCCTAGGGCTAGATGGTAGCACCCCTGCCTTTGAGAGGGAGCGGCTCATTAATCAGTTCAATGATCCCAGCAACCTCACCACCTGGCTGTTCCTTCTCTCCACAAGGTGAGTGGATCCTGAGAGGGGAGGTCAGAGGACTGCATTCAGGGCATTTGACTGCATGGGCAGGTACCACAAAGGCTTGTCCAAGTTCTGTCAGAAGAAATCTCCTCAGGTTTGTGACTTGTTCTTGAGGTCAGAGAGGGGACCCCAGAAAGAAATTGTGTTAGAAGGGCAATTATGATAGTGTCATGAATTTCTTTGAGACCTTCATTCACAATGGTCATAATTATCTTTACTCTCAGGACGGTTCTGAGGCTTAGATGATGTGATGAATGTGAAAGTGCTTTAATAAGTAGAAAGTGTAATATAACTGTAAAAGGCTGATGGCATTATTTGTCTCATGCCAAGCGACTTGCAGGCTGTGCTGCCTTCTGCCATCAGAATGCCCTCGATAGGGTATGAACCAGTCATTCTCCTAAGCTGTTAGACTAAACACATCAGAAACATTGGTACGCAGACATTTCCCCTCAGCCAGTGACATCACTCTGGGGCCAAGATATGGGCCTTTACTCATCACAGAGGGATGGGAGGGTGGGTTTTCTTTCTGAGCTGGTAGGTACTTCCATGTTGGACTTTCAGGGCATACTTTTCAGTGCTTGAGGAATGCACTGTTCATTAGCAGAATCATTCAGTATATTCTGCTTAGGATAAAGAGGATAATATCGGGGTAGGAGTCACAGAGGGTAAAACCAATTTGAAAACTATCTTTAAAACTAAAGGTTCTGTGATTATTGGCTTGTGTTTTAAAGGGCTGGGTGCTTGGGCGTGAATCTGATTGGTGCCAACCGAGTGGTGGTGTTTGATGCTTCCTGGAACCCTTGCCATGATGCTCAGGCAGTATGTCGGGTATACCGTTACGGCCAGAAAAAGCCCTGTCACATCTATCGCCTTGTGGCTGATTTCACCCTCGAAAAGAAGATCTATGACCGTCAGATTTCCAAGCAGGGCATGTCAGGTGGGCCATCTTCCACGCTCAGAAGAGGCACATTTATACAGGCTACCACTCTAATTGTATCAAGAGTGGGAGGGGAGGGCGGCAGGATGTGGAAACACAGGCTTTCAGTCATAGAAAGTTAGCAGTTCCTTCCATCTCATTCTGATTCAAATAATTGCTTAAGAGGGAATTTACCTCAGATTGTTGAAGATGGGTTTAATGATAAGAGCTGAGCTGGTTATGCAATTTTCTCTTAACATATTTCTGTTTCATGAGGGTCTCAGACCTGCTGTTTGATTTTCAGATATGGGGTGGCCTGAGATGGTTTAGATATTGGTAACAATTATGCCACCCACAACCTTTCTTCCAATATTTGTAGCTATGCTTTTGCAGTTTTCTTTGCTGTGAACTGACTTTCTCCATGTCTTCTCCCTTCTAGATAGGGTCGTGGATGATCTCAATCCAATGCTGAACTTTACTCGAAAGGAGGTGGAGAACCTACTGCACTTTGTTGAGAAGGAGCCAGCTCCCCAAGCATCCTTGAACATAAAGGGGATCAAGGAGCCAGTCCTGCAACTTGCCTGTCTGAAATACCCTCACCTCATCACCAAGGTAAGACCCTGGTATGCATGTGTCCCAGTACTGCACTCTCCACTGAGGGAGGCTTGTCTGGCAAGCTAGTTTCCTTCATCCAAAGTTTTGTTTCATGCAGACAACTTGAATTCATCTGCTTCTTTTCCTTGCCCCAGACAGTCCCCCTCCCCTGTCCAAACCACCTATCCTATCCTAGTCTCATCCTAGGAGTGTGTGCTCAGTCATGAGAATAATTTGGCCGTTGTGAGTTTTCCTAGCAGAAAGAGAGGGGGAAAAGTTCTGAAAATATAGTCTGGTAATTCTCTGAACTCTCCCATTCTTTTGATATGGAAGGCAGACTTAGGTTGTCCAAAGCTGGTGCTAGGTTAGAGTTGAGAATTTATGCTGCTGACAGGAAGACAGTAAACCCACCTGTGTGTCTGTGAGCAGGCTCTTTGCTAAGTACTGGAGACAGCCAGCCATTTCTTGGTTTCAAAGTAAGGCTTATTGTATGTCACAAAGACTGGTAATTAAATCAACATCCTCCTGTGTCCCCAGGAGCCTTTTGAGCATGAGTCATTGCTCCTTAACCGAAAGGATCACAAGCTGACCAAAGCTGAGAAAAAAGCAGCAAAGAAAAGCTACGAGGAAGACAAACGTACATCGGTCCCCTACACCCGCCCATCATATGCTCAGTATTACCCCGCCAGTGACCAGAGCCTGACCAGCATCCCTGCCTTCAGTCAGAGAAACTGGTGAGTCACTGAAAAGGGAGGAAGATTTGCTGCTGGGCCAGGGTCAAGCCTTTCAACTGGTTCCTTTTTTAAATAAAGGGAGACCCTACAACTTGCTCTTTGGCTGCTGTGAACTGAGAGGTTCTGCTCTTGGATGAGGTGCTGAAGCAGTTCAGCAGCCCTGGTGTTTTAAGCAGCTCTGGCTGGAAGAGTGAGCTGCTGGGCTTGTGACTCAGGAGAGTCCCTCTGGACTCCCGAGGAGATGCAGCTTCCCATAACACAAATGCCCAGCCCTCCCACACAGCTGCTTCCTATCTGCAGCACCTTGGTGCTAGCCCTCACTTAGCAGCGAAGTTCAAGAGTGAAGGCCAGGTCTTCTGTGGGTCTTGGATTGCAGTCAGGGAATCCTGCTGTTCCTAATGGGATTTCACTCTGTGTCCGCCTTATTCCTGAGCAAAAAATCTTTTTCTTGAGTACAGCTTCCAGAACTATTAAGAATAGGAACAGCATGGAAGCCAATTGCTAGGTGGGAGAAAAGCTCTTTGTAGGAAATTATAGAATAGTTATCTCTGTTTTTTTTTCCTCATTACAAGACAAAGTGCCTCATAGCCTTTATCAGATCAGCTTCCTGATTGCCTGGTTTGCATTTTTACATTATTTGATTATCTTGAATTAAAGATAATTATTTTGAGAGGGATAGATTTAAGAATTGTTTCTTTTGACTATTCCATGTTTACAAAAAAATAAACTTGTCAAATGAGTTTCTAAAGGAACTGAAGCCATGTAAGATTTTATGTAAGACTAAATTTTGGTGAGTAAATTTGCTACTTTTTATGTATAAGATGCTTTCAAGTAGAAAATTGCCATGTTTCAAAGCCTTCAAACTTTATTTCTGTGTCATTTTCCAAGATACTGTTGCCTGAGTATGTTCTTCTCTGGTCCTCCACCCCTTTTATCTCTTTTCTGGGCTTTTCCTTGTAATAGCAGGAATGGACTAAGTCTGAACCCAGTAGGAGAAAAGCCATATGGAGGGAAGATGTGACAAATGAGCTGGGCTGTGAGGAGATTTCAGCTCCTTTTCTGGCCCAACTCTGGCCCTGTGGGAGGCATTTGGCCTCTCACAGCATTTGATGAGCCATCCCATGATCCTGCTGATTCCTTATCCTGTCTGGGTACATGTGAGGAGGCCTTTCCACCCAAATTCCTAGCCTTAGCCCCTGCAGAGTATGGGGCTTAGGCTAGATTCCTGTTACCCTTCTGACTTCTTATCCTGAGAAGAGTCCCATTGACATCTGAGCAGGGCCCCCAGCTCCTGCATAGCCACCTTGGGCAGGCATTGCGGAAGTGGGTCCCAGATCCTGGTGAGCTTGCCGTGCTACCTGGCCTATCTCGGAATGATGGCATCCACAGGGCCCCAGGGGTTGCCCAAAGGCAACCTGAGAGCAGTGTGACTGAGGAGACATGCAGACCTACTCCAACAGCAGTGGTGTGTTCTTTTATGTGCCAGTCTTCAGTCAGATGAGGAAGAGCATACCAGTCCAAGAGGCTCTCTTTCTCTGAACTAAAGACCAAAGATGCAGACTTCAGAAATCTTAGAGACAGGGGCTTTATTTCAGAAACCTTAAATAAGGAGTAGCTTTCTCAAGGTACCAACATCCAGTTGAAAGGAAGGTGAAAAGTGAGGAATGCATCATTGACCACAGGATAACATTTTGGCACTTTGGTAGTAAGAGATGCACAACCGGTACTCAGGCTGGCCATGGCTCTGTGCCATGTAGAAGCCCAACTTCTGTGCACGGCGTTTTGCCTGCTGCTGCTTTTGTGGTGGCTGTGACTTTAGGGGCACTTTGGGGATTGGCCCTGGGAGAAGTCCATTGAAAAGTAATTCAGAAGAGAGAGGTGTCTGCATTACTTATTGAAACTTGAGATTTCAGAGGGTAATGATGGTTAAAGTTGGATAGATAGTCTCAAGACCACCAGAACATGTGACGTCACATGGCCCTATTTTCTTGGGTTAGTGGGAAAATTCCACCCATCTATCTTCAAATTAGTATGCACCGTGTTCTGAAGAACTTCCCCCCCCACTTAATGCCTCTTTGCCTCTACCTGACTTCCAAGGACGAATTCCTTCCAAGGACGAATTCCTAATTTATGTAGACAGTCCAAATTCTAGAGGAGCAGATGTCACCTCACATTTCCAAAAAGGCATTATTCCACTGACATTGATTCTTCTTAGACTCTGAGAGGCGTTACCCCTTGCTATCTCTGTCTCCTCTCTGTCTCAGCCCTGCCTCTAGTCTCCTTTTGAATTTACCATACCCTGCAGGTTCTTTTGATCCTTCTCTCAGCAGCATCTGAGGCTGTAGAATGGGGAAGTCTGGAGAGGCTCAGCAGTCTTTGCAGAAAGATAAGTAAGGGCTGTTCTGCCAAACTTCCTTAGTGTGCTTCTCTTTCTCTCCTAGGCAGCCAACACTGAAGAGTGATGAGAAGCCTGTGGCCAGTGTTCGTCCTGTACAGTCCACCCCAATCCCCATGATGCCACGGCATGTCCCACTGGGAGGTAGTGTAAGCTCTGCCTCCAGCACAAATCCAGCTATGAACTTCCCAATCAACTACCTGCAACGTGCGGGAGTCCTTGTGCAGAAGGTGGTCACCACAACAGGTTGGGAGCTCCTGAGTTCTCTTCCAGGGTGCTGTCCCTTTTAAAATTACTTTGTTCATTCAGGAAGTATTTATTAAACAATGTTTGCATTGTAGGCCATACTACATTGGCACTCTAGGTAAAAATAGAGAAGGCAGCAGTCCCTGATCTTGAAGAATTTGCATTCTAATGAAATGTCTTAAGAAGAGCAACATGGAACTGGGTTTTCTTGAATGTGGTGGGTGGGATGGACTCTGAACACTGCAGAGATTGTGGAAATGTCACTGGACATAGGGTTGGTCTTCAGAGAGAGGTGTGAATGTGTTGAGTCCTGCCTGACTTGTAGGGTCAGGTGGGTATGAAGGACAGCTCTCAACCTCTTTAGTTAAAAGACCTAAATGTCGCTTGCTTCTTTCTTTGTAAGTTTAATGTAGATCGAGCATGATGGGCCAGTGGTAGGAGTTGGGCAGCCCATCCGTCCCTGCAATTGATTCTGTGGTTCAGGGTAATTGGGAAGGAAAGCATTTCATGATGCTGTTTTTCATCTTGTTATCTAGAAATACTCATAATACATTTTCATGAAAACATCTTAATTGGTTTTTTTGAGTATGAAAATAATAGCTGTTCATTGTAAAAAAAAGAAAAAAATTTGAAACAAATTAAAAACAAAAAGAGAGGCTCTCAGGACTTCCCTGGTGGTCCAGTGGTTAAAACTCCACGCTTCCACTGCAGGGGGTGTGGTTTCAATCCCTGGTCGGGGAACTAAGATCCCACATGCCCTGCGGCACAGCCAAAAAAAAGAGAGAGCCTCTCATAATCCTGTTTCTCTGCTGATTCTTGAAAATGCTCTTTCTCTTCATAGTGACAGGAGCAGCAGATACACGCAAATAGCTTAGGGAGGGAGAAACAAAAATAGAAATAAACATTTGAACTGAAACTTTTTCTAAACCAAAAACTCTATGATTTTTAAATTAAATCAAGGAAAATTGATCAGAAAGATGATCAGATTTCTAAAAAGTTTCTTGTTTTCACAGTATTCTTTGTTTAGACAGTTGTGAGAGGCCCTGCTGGTTTCAAAACTTCCTTGGTTCTGACCTCTGCTCCACTGAGACGCTTTAGGGAAACCATTGAGGAACAGGGGTGGATGTGGACTTTGCATTTTATTTCCCTCCTTCAGTCAGGCCCCATGTAATCTAAATCTGAGGTCTGTTGTCTCCACTAGATATTGTTATTCCTGGACTCAACAGCTCCACAGACGTACAGGCAAGAATTAATGCTGGTGAGAGCATCCACATCATCCGTGGGACAAAAGGTGAGAGCCTGACCAAAGGGCTTATTCCCTACCTTTGGTTGAGAGTGGTGGGCTGGCAAGCAAAATAAATACATACGGTTTGAGCTAGAGAGAAGATAGGAATCATCCTATAGGAGTGTAACACGTGGGGGAAACATGAGAAAATGACATTTCTAGGAGCTTAGCCGAGTGGGGTGGGCTCAAAGGATATCTGTCAGTGGCTTAAAAGAAAGGAGTTAGGGTCCCTGCATTCCTATATTTTGCCATCGTTTTTATGGAGACTCTTGGAGTGGGTTTGGATACACACAGTGTTTTGTATTGGTCTCAGCCTATCGATAGTATCGGCTAGGAATGCCTGGGGCACTCATCCAGTCCTGTAGTACTTGTGGCAAGCACCCACATACATTTCCCCAGAGCCAGTGTTGTGGCTAGACCAGCCCTTGTTGTTCTTATTATGATTGCAAGATGCACCTCAGCAACAATCATCAAGGAACTTTGAAAAAACAAGGTTTACTACTCACAGGTCCTGTAGGGTACATGGCACACTCAAGGGCCACACAGGAAGGTTGTGGGGGGAGAGAGAGAGAAAGAGATTGTGGACCTGGGTCTCTGTCTTTATTAGGGTCCAAGAGTGGGGTGGCTAGGGTTTCGCAGGTTCAATCTTTATTGGTGAATTTATTTATATTTTTGGCCACGCCGTGCAGCTCGTGGGATCTTAATTCCGCAACCAGGGATCAAACTTGTTCCCCCTGCAGTGGAAGCACAGAGTCCTAACCACTGAACCACCAGGGAAGTCCCTTTATTGGTGAATTTAAAACATAAGAATGGGAATTAGTGTGTGGGAAGGGAAGAGCGAGCTCACTCAAGGGTTAGTTACCTAGGTTACCTCAGGCTTTCTAAAAAGGAACTTTTCAAGGGAGGGAGCAGCCTGGTTCCTTACCTAGTAGTTTAGCTAGTAGCTGTGCCGTATGGCTGGCAGTTTGTTTACCCAAGATGGATGTCTTTGAAATGGATGTCTGAGCAGTCAAAAGCTTAATGTCTAGCACTTACACTACACACAGGGAGGCCAGAATCAGAGGGAATGAGCTGTGGAATGGGTTATAAGCCAACCTGTTTATTGTTGTGCCGTCTTACCTACTTGCTTAGAGTGGGGTGGATGTCTCTGATTAGAAAATGTAGTGGGTGGATGAATAAGTATACCTGGGTTGCATGACAGAATTTTCCAGTGTGGCCATTTGAAAAGTCCACTGCCTCTGGCCTCCTTATGGAGTTCTCCAGATGAGATTGCTGGAGAAATCTGGGCTGGATGGTGTTAGGACACAGCTGAAGCCTATCTTTCATGTCAGCCTCTGCTGTGTGAGGCTCCCCGAGGGTCTTTGTTTAGTAAGGAGATTTTGCCCTAGCCTCTGTTGGGTTAAAGTACTTTTAGTTTCAGGGAAAAGATGCCATGAAATACATGACACCCAGAGAAGGTCATATGTAGCCCCCTTACTGGGTTCTTCCTGGCCTAGAGCAGGGGTATGCAAACTGTGGCCCACGGACCAGATCATGCCTGCTTCCTGTTACTGTACCTCTGAGCCAAGAATGGGTTTTACATTTTCAACCATTTTCAATTGGTTGAAAAAAAAAAAATCAAAAGTATAGTATTCTGTGACGTGAAAGCGATATGAAATTCACATTTCAGTGTCCATAAATAAAGACCTTCGGAGCACAGCCACACCCAGCTGTCATGTTACAGCAGCAGAGTAGTTGCAACAGAGACCTTATGGCTCACAGAGCCAAAAATATTTACTAACTGACCCTTTAAGAAAAAGTTTTTTGACCTCTGGCCAAGAGGCAGCCCTACCAAGAGATAGATCAAATGACATGCTCAAGACCAAGGAAAGGTTGACTAGTGCTGTGTGGGAATAGAATAGCCGTCTTGAATTATTCCTGCCAAGGGAGGGGTGTTATTGAGGAAATAAGGCTCCTTCCAGATCAAGAGGACCTGGGCCAGAACAGAAGGAGCCAATTTACTCTCTTTCACAGCACCCTATTTATTTCCTCCATTGCATTTAACCTTTCCTGATATTTTCTAGTATAATTGTCTATCTCCCCCTCTAGAGTTAAGCTCCGTGAGACAGGGCCCTTTTCTGTCTTGTGTACTTCAGTGTCTAGAACAGTGTCTGGTATATGGTAGTCACGCAGTCAGTGTTTGTGGAATAAGTGAGTAATATTGGGTCCACAGCTCAGTCATCCCACTCCTCATTTCAGGGATATTGAGAGAGGATGTGACACCAGTTTTATAGCTGTTTCTGAGCCCACAGTGCCCAGGCCTGGAGTTTCCCAGGGTTGGCTGTATTGCATGTCTGCTCCTAACAGTCTTCCTCATGTTTCTTCTTAGGGACATACATCCGTACCAGTGATGGGCGAATCTTTGCTGTCCGGGCGACTGGCAAACCAAAGGCCCCTGAAGATGGTCAGATGGCTGCCTCAGGTATAGTGGCTTCTACTTTCCGTTGACCTACATGGCATTTTTGGGGGGGGGGTTGGTTTGTAATTAATTTATTTTTTGAATAGATAATGTGTGCATGGTTCACAATTCAAAGGGTACAAGAAGGGGTAAAGTGAAAAGTAAGTTTTTCTTCCCTCATACTTCCAGTCATCCATTGCTCCTTCCTGGAGGTGCTACTCCTGTTTTGTTTGGTTTGTTTGTTTGTTTTATAGATTTATTTATTTTTATTTATTTATTTTTGGCTGCGTTGGGTCTTTGTTTCTGCTCGCGGGCTTTCTCTAGTTGCAGCAAACGGGAGCCACTCCTTGCCACGGTGCATGGGCCCCTCATTGCAGTGGCCTCTCCCGTTGCAGAGCACGGGCTCGGTGCGCAGGCCCCAGGAGTTGTGGCATGCAGGCTCAGCAGTTGTGGCCCTCGGGCTCCAGAGCACAGGCTCAGCAGTTGTGGCACACAGGCCTAGCTGCTCTGTGGCATGTGGAATCCTCCCAGAGCAGGGCTCGAACCCGTGTTCCCTGCATTGGCAGGCGGATTCCCAACCACTGCGCCACCAGGGAAGTCCCTCCTGTTGTTGTTTTGTTTTGTTTTGTTTTGTTTTAAAAGATATTCTATACATATACATGGTACAGGGATATGTATATGCGTACGTGTATATCTGTGTATATTAAAAAAATGTATATATGTATATAACTTTTCTTTGCATTTTTAAACAAATGCTAATTTACTGTAATATACTGTTTGATCTTTTCTTCATTTACTAGTGTATCTCAGTGCTTGTTCCTTATCCTTTCTTTAAATGTTCCTCAGTGAAGGTTTGCACAAGATGCAGTTAGATGGGTGTAATACAGTGCATTACGGAGTTCCCTGTCCCTGGACATTTAGATTGTTGTGCTCCACCATTACAGTACTGGTTCACAGTCATATGGGTGTATCTATAGGAAAAATTCCTAGAAGTGGGATTGCCAGATCAAAGAGTATATGTGTGGCACATTAACAATGTTAGGAACTCTTGCAAAAGTCCCCTCTGTGGGAGTGGTTCTCACTTATCCTCCCACCATGAGGTATGAGGGTATGAGAGCTAGATTGCTCTTGTTCCCAGCTTTTATCATGGAAATTGAGAGACATGCAGACAAGTTGAAAGAACAGCACTGTGAGCACCCATGTATCCTACAGCTAGATCCAATGACTGTTATCATTCTCATAAACTTTCTTCTCTCTCCTCCTTCCTATTATTTGAACTATTTGTAAGTTGAAGACATCATGTCATTTCATCCCTAAATATTTCAGCACACATTTGCTAAGATTAAGGACATACTCCTCCTAGTCACAAAACCATTATCGCACTAAAAAAAGTTAACAATCCCATAATATTCCCTACTAGTCAGGCCATTTTCAGATTTCCCAGTTGCCCTATTCACTTTCATGGCCATGGATTTTGTTTTGTTTTTAACCAGGATGGACTGCTTTTTGAACTTCATTTTCCTCTTTTCTCCCATCCTGGTCACTGACCATCTTTGCCCCCAGAAGGAGTGTGACTAAAAGAATATCTTTCAGCATTTCATATCCTTTATTTCATAGGATCCACCTTGGTGGAGTTTTACAGGGAACTGGGGTACAGAGAAGTTACATGTCTTTGCATGGATAGACTTGTTTCCTAGATCAAAGGACTTCTTTCTTTGTGATTGGGAAAAATTGACTGGGTGATGTTGTTTGCACATCGAACTATTTGAATTTGGGGGACCACAGGACAGGATTTTTTTTTTTAATGGAATCTTGTCTTACACCCGCCTTCTCTCCCTGACCATTCTGGTTCTCAGTTACCTACATTTCATCCCCAGGTTCCCAGGGGCCTTCTCTCGAGTCTACAAGCAACGGCAGACACAGTGCCTCATCACCCAAAGCCCCCGACCCTGAGGGGCTGGCCAGGCCTGTCTCTCCAGACAGCCCGGAGATCATCAGTGAGCTCCAGCAGTATGCAGATGTGGCTGCTGCCCGGGAATCCCGTCAGAGCTCCCCAAGCTCCAATGCTGCCCTGCCTGGCCCCCCAGCTCAACTTGTGGACAGCAGTGCTGTTCCTGGGACAGCTCTTGGGACTGAACCTAGACATGGGGGTCATTGCCTCAATAGTTCCCTCTTGGTGACCGGCCAGCCCTGTGGTGACAGGCACCCAGTGTTGGACTTAAGGGGCCACAAGCGAAAGTTGGCCACACCACCTGCTGCCCAGGAGTCAGCCCGCCGGCGGTCCAGGAAGGGCCATCTGCCAGCCCCCGTGCAGCCGTATGAACACGGGTATCCAGTTTCTGGCGGGTTTGCCATGCCACCCGTCTCCTTAAACCATAACCTCACCCCACCCTTCACCTCCCAGGCTGGGGAGAATTCCCTGTTTATGGGCAGTACCCCCTCCTACTACCAGCTGTCCAATTTGCTGGCAGATGCCCGCCTGGTGTTTCCAGTGACTACTGACCCTCTGGTGCCAGCAGGCCCCGTCAGTTCCTCTTCCACGGCTACCTCAGTCACTGCCAGCAACCCCTCCTTCATGCTCAACCCCTCTGTACCAGGGATACTACCCAGCTACTCACTCCCATTCTCACAGCCACTCCTGTCCGAGCCGAGGATGTTTGCGCCTTTTCCTTCCCCTGTCTTGCCCAGCAACCTTTCACGGGGCATGTCTGTCTACCCAGGCTACATATCCCCACATGCAGGCTACCCAGCTGGCGGCCTTCTCCGGTCCCAGGTGCCTCCATTTGACTCTCATGAGGTTGCTGAGGTGGGGTTCAGCTCCAATGATGATGAGGATAAGGACGATGATGTAATAGAGGTCACTGGGAAATAGCTGGGGAGCCCCTCTGCAGCTCACTCGGGGCCCCAGCAGGTTGCCCACCAAGATGGAAGGCAGCAATCTGGGCTTTCTGAGAATAGGGCACTTGGCAGGAGGGAAAAGGAAGAGGACAAAGAAGGGTGGTTGACCACAGGTGGCAGGGCTCTGTTGCTGTTTAACAAAAGAGGCAAAAATAATCCAACAGAGCAGCAATAGTGGGAAATCAGGGACCTAAAACAGGAATGGAGAGGCAGGGCAGTCTGCCTCTCTTCCTGCCTGCCTTGCTTATGCTGTCTGCTTGCTTGCTTGCCCATCTGAGGGTAGATGCTCACATCCCATTTCTGTCTTTGGGAACATTCTCTCCCGAGAGAGCTGCCTTACTGGGTGATTTAGCTTGGCCTGGAGAGGGAAGGGGAGGGAGGGAGGGTAAGAGAAGAAGGGTAGGCAGACTGAGATTCCACGTGAAGTGGAATCCTTTTAGGGGGTGGGAAAGAAGCAGACCAGGTATGTGTGTGTGTGCCTGTGCGTGTGTGTTTATGTTTGTACTTACATGTATGTAACAGAGCAGGGGTGAAGGCGGGTGGGAAGGGAGGGAGGGAGGGACTAAAGGGGAAACTAAGAAATGAATTTATCTTTTGTAAAATGGAAATCAGAGTGTGGTGGTTCATGGCAACTATTAGTATGAACATCAGGGTGAGCCCAGGAGAAGAGCCATGGAAACCACAAGTTTCCTTCTACTTGGGTGAAGACAAGGCCCAGCTAACCCACGTCCCTGGTTATCAGAGCCAGACTTGTTTTAAAATTTGGGGGAAATTATTAGAGAAAATGGGCATTACCAATCTGTGTCTCTTTCCCCAGTGGCTGTCTCTGAGCAGATCTCCCTTTCTGGGGTGTGAGATTGTCTGTGTGCAGAGACTGGGAGGGAGAAGCATTGCAGTGTGTGAGTGGGAGGTCATGGAGTTGTGGCCAGAAAAAACATTCTTCACAAGGTTGGAACTGAGCCCCCAGCTGCCTGTTCTGGTGGCCTTTCCTTTTCCTTCTCCATTAGAGAGCTCCATGTTAATTTATTTCTTAAGGGCAATTATTTATTATTTGGACTTTTCATGTGTCTTGGTTCTTTTTTGGGGGGGTGGGAGGGGAGGTTAGGGTAAGGAGGGTAGGAGATGGGAAGGGAAATTTTAAGATATCTCAGACCCCATAGCTGCTGGTGAATAAATCCTGGGTAGATGGTGAATTGACCAAGGAAAGAAAGTTAGGCTTGACCAAGGTTTACACTAAACAACTATGTTTTCAGGAAATGGCCCCTCAGGAAGATCAGGGAATCCTGTGACTGGATAGTTAGTGATGGTGAGACTCATTCCACAGTGCTTGAAATTTAGGATCATGGAGTTTGCAATTGGGAAGTAAGTGACCCCAAATTTGGAGCTGTGTCCTCCTGGGATGACCTTAGGGACAGGCTCTCTATGCTGACTAGTGAAGCTGTGTATAGGTGGCTGCTGGGTTGAGGGAACAGACTGTTGATTTCCTATTGGGAAATGTCTTGGCTTCCTCAACGTATCGGATGATCATTGTGGGCCTGGTGTCTGCTACCTCCATCCTCTTTGAAGGAACATGGAGGAGCCCTTCCTCTGTAGGAGACTTAAATCGTCTTAAAAGAATACATCAGTCATTCTGGGTCTCCGCCAGGGGCGAGGGGGCATCTAGGCGTTAAGCATAAACACTGGTTGTCTTCATATTGCCTTTTTCCCCCCTGCTGCTAAGACCTTGCTGGGCAGTTCTTTATGATGAACAAACCCTGTCTGGCTTTAGAGCTTTACCACCTACCCATGGGTCCCTCCTCACTGGGCAGCTGCTGCACCTGCCTCTGCCAAGCCCTGGAGGCAACTTAGCCAGCTCACCCCTAGTAGTATCTGCTTGCTTCTGCAGCTCTTCTGACCAGCCTGTTTCCATTGTTGGGGAGTCTTAGCACACTCTGGCATATTATCCCCAGAGAAGAGACAAGGAGATGGCTGATGGATGGGTGTGTGTGTGTGTGTGTGTGTGTGTGTGTGTGTGTGTGCACTGTTCAGTTACACCAAAAGTGGAACTTAGGGAGCTTGCTTTCTGTATTTTCATAAGCACCCTGTCAGACATTTAACTCTCCTACTTATAGAAGCCTTAGACCTACAATTTAGCTATGCAAATTATTTTAATAATTTAAAAACAGCAGTTCCAACCAGTGCTTTCTCTTTCAGATGCATCCCAAGAATGAATGATGAAGGGACTCAGTTAGAGTGGGCTCTCAGGTTGAGGCTGGTTAATGGGAGTAAGCTAGCCTGGATCTCTGATTTGCAGAGCACACTCACAACCTGGGTTACAACTGATGCCTCTAAGGCTCCAGAGCACTGGGATCCCAGAAATTGTGTGTGTGTGTGTGTGTGTGTGTGTGTGTGTGTGTGGAAGGAGGGATATTTCTATGTTCACCTCTAGGAAATCACAGCAGCAAGCTCTGAGAATCCAGAAACTATCCCAGCAAGGAACCAAAACCAGTCACTGAAGGGATGGGCTTTTGAAGGTACCGGGAAGTAATGGGTGTTGTGAGTGGCAGCATGTGCCTGCTCTCTACCCAGTGGTTCCATGGGCTGGGTCTTGCTTCAACTCAGGAGAGGCCATAGTTTTGGGAGGCTGACCTGGCTAGACAAGATTTTCTTTGATATGTGCAGCTTATATTGTGTAAGGGGGTAGGGCTGGGATCATGGGAAATTAAGAGTGCTACTGGTTCCATGGTTTGTTTTGTTGTTGTTTTTTTTTATTGAACCTGAAAATACTTTGACTTTTCTGTCGTCTCTTTCTGTGTGCTGGTAGGCAAGCGTGCATGCACACCAAACATAAGCATATGTGTAAGGGTAGCAGGAAATGTCTCAGAGCCCAAGAACCATGTTTTACAGTTCCTTTGATCAGAAACACTTGGTGTTGATGTCCACGCACCGTCCAGGCCTGAGTAAGGGAAGGATGGTGATAAGGGGGAGGGCAGAAGATCAGGTCTAGGTATCTTGCCTCGCTACTGTCTTCCATAGAATGTTTTCAAGGGCCTTTCAAGCCCCATCTGTCTGGTTTAGCCTAAATCCTCAGCCTAGGGAATATAGTACAATTTAATAATTCAGGATTACCATTTGTAATAATGCTTTATTCCCTTTTCTCAGTACCTTTGTAGATAAAAATTCAACAGAGACAGATTAGCCATTTAATTGAGAAAGTAAGTGAACCATGTTGGATCCAGATATTTTTCTTCAGATTAGATATCTGCAAAGTTTTCACCCCCTTGAGTTATGCTTCTTAAGCATCTTTTGACTTAAGGATGTCTCTGGTCCTTGGAACTCTATTCCCTAGGAATTAGTGTGTGGAATCACTATATACTTGTGATTCACAACTAAATATGAAAATTTCCCACTCCAGGACATGAAGCAAATCGTTGGGGTAATATTTTGCTGATAGGTTGAAACACTCAACCAAACTTTAGCCGTCTGGGTAGGACTGTCACTCCCAAAGCACTCAGCAGAGCAAGGCTCTCTGCTTGTCTGTTCATGCCTGGCATTGCTCTGGAACTGAGTCCTCATCCCATGGGGAAGGTCTTCTGGGGCTTTACATTCCTTGTTCCTAGTGTTCCTGGCCATGACCCCCTTGTGCTTCCCAGTTCCCTGTGATTCCACAGAAGACCAGTCTCTCCTTTCTGAGCCATGGCCTCCTATGCACCCAACTCAGTGACTCTTCCCCCATCAAAACTCCTGAGAGAAGAGCTCCTTCCCCCATTAGTTCCCCAAGAGACTTTCTGGCCCTCTGCTGACTGTTCCCAAGAAATCCACACCTCAAGGTCTGCCTGAGAAGGTTATGCTCTCCATCAGTCACCTTCAGACTCTATTTCCCTCCTACTGACTCTTCTCTGCTGTCCTGTGTATTCCACTGTGACCCCTTAATGTCTGTTCTGTGCCACTGGCTTGGCCCTAGGCCTTTTATGAATACCCGAGTCTTACGATGAACTTCCTGAGCAGGCAGTGTCCAACTTCTTTGCTCTTCAGGGACCTTAGTCTGCTCCTTTCCTCTCTCAGAGGTCTATTTGATATAGTAATCTAGTGCATTGGAGAGAGGTAGCTAGACAGGCTGCAGAGTCTGTAAGGCTGGGGGCTGGGAGTGATTTGGGTACTCTCTGTTACCACTACTGGGATAATAATCAGAAAAGAGGGGACCTCATACTGTGACCTGACCCAGGGCCCTCCCCTGGAAGAGAGCTCAGCCCAGGTTTGTGTGTGTGTGTGTGTGTGTGTGTGTGTGTGTGTGTGTGTGTGTGTGTGTGTGTGTGAGAGAGTGTATGTGTGCACACGCATGCCCTTGTGCACGTGGGTGTAAATTGTTATCTGGTTGTGTTACTCAGGGTGGGCTGGGGACTCACCAGAAGAATCCCCTCAGCCCGCCCAAGACTGTTTTTTTCCTGTACCCTCTCCAGAGGGGTCGGGGAAGGGGGTCCAGGTGGGTTGAGGGGGTCACAATGGATAACCACTAAGGCCACACTGCTGCCAGGAGGAGTGGGGTGGGGGAGAGATGAGGTGGCCCCAGGGACCTGGCACCTGGCTTTGGTTTTCCATCTTCTTTCTTCAGGACACCCCCTGAGGCCTGGGACCTGCGCCTGGCTTTGAGGAACATCTGTAGCTGGGTGTTCCAGCTGCTGGTGTGATCATGGGCTTCCCTCCTCTCTCAGCAGGGCAGGTGCTCCTGCCCCAGAGACTGGGCAACTGGCTGTTTCTATGACGTATTTATTTTTACTTGTGTTTCATGTCACTTTTTTAAAAAAGCAAACAGAACAATTGTAAGTCAGTATAACTGCCTATCAGTTTATTTCTCTTTTTGTAAAATAAAATTTAAACTGAAGAAGGCAGTGTTGTTTGATCAGGGAATTGTCTGAACAGCTGTTTGGCTGGGTGGTGGTGAAAGGGATATAACTTAGAGCATATTGGATGCTGAGATGGCACCTGTGAAGGTGGGGGGTGGGAACAGAGGGCAGACTGCTGGCAGGCTCTTTTTATGCAGTGGGGTTCATTAGGCATTTTCTGCCTTTGCTCACCTGAAGAGGACCGCATTTCCTGGCTCTAGAGGAAACAGCGAAGCTGACTCAGGGTGGCTTGAGGCTAGCTGGTCCCTCAGTCATGGCAAGTCCTGCAGGGGCAGCCCTAACTAGGCTGTGAGTGGCCAGGGATTGGGCACAGCATCAGTGCCTTCAGAGGGGGGGAGATGGCTGGTGGCAGGGTTTGCAGAGCATCTTACATTGCATGTGTGTTCTCCATTTGTCATCTGAATTAGAGGATCTAACCACTGCCTCAGAGAACTAACAAGGGCTTTGGAGCATGAAGAGGTAGGGAAGGAGGGGATGGTCTATGCTTTAGTTTCCCAAGTTTGGGGAAACATTCTCTGGAATTTACTAAGGGAGAGTTAAAGTGCTTCTGTAGGAATTCTTTGGACAGAGGAAGGCAGGAGGAGACAAAGGCCAAGTCTGGGCTCATGAGAGGAGAATATGTGCTATTGGGAGATAGGACTGGGAGTGGGGCATGGGTGAGGCAGACGGCTAGGTGATCAGCTCTGCTCAGACTTGCTGCAAGGGGTAGTGGAAAGTGCCTGGGCTACTGCCTCCTGGTGGCTAGTGGAGGCCTTGCAGGGATCCGGTGGAGATCAGGGCTTGCTTTGTTGGGAACAGCCTGCAATGAAGCCTGGGAAGCTGATGGCCTGCAGCCCCAGTCACAGGCCAACTCTACTTTCACCACAGAGGTGCTGAAGCTCCTAAGGCACACCCTGAACTCTGACGTGGGGCTCTGGAGTTCCCCAACCAAGCTAAAGGAAGTGAGCAGACAGGACAAGTTATGAAAGGGCAGCTCCAGACAACAGTTTCGTGGGAGAAGCTCATAGCTTCTGAGAAGCAGAACTGAGCATACAGAGGCTGTCTGTCTCTGAGGGTACTGGCCCTTCCTCGTCTCACAGGAAATGCTTCCAAGTGTATAGTCCTCTTGCCTGGGGCACCCAAAGGGTTTGATCATGTGCCTGATGTTCATCAGCAAAACAACTGCCACGACCCTGCTAGCCCAGCCCTGAGTGCCTCTGAGGAGTCAGCTACCCATTCCGCTAGTTGGCCCAGAGCCCTGTGGGTGAGGTTCAATCTTCCCTGCCTGTGGGCAGAACAAATGTGAAGCAGAAGGAAAGGAAACCAGCTATAAGTGCCTGTGTGTGTCCAGTCTGCCCTTTGCTAGTACAGTAATGGGATCCACAAAAAGATGATTCACCTCCCAAACATCAATCCTCTATGTGAGGAGCACCAAAGTAGCACTTGGCCCCGCCTGTCTTGTAGCCAATCTTAACGAGCATAGTTGTCACCTCCCCCAGCCCCTCCACTGCAAGACTGGGCCTCTCAAGAGGGCGAGGTTTTATCTTTGGGGCCCGAGAAGAGTGCTTTGCTGTTTCTAGATCCTCAGAAATACGAGCTGAAGATTGAACCTGTCTTCAACGAACTTACAGTTGACTTGGGGGGTTATCTAGAATACTTAAGCTAGAAGGGCAGACCTGCCTCCCCCAGCTGCGTCTAGGGCACTGAGGGAGGAGCCTGGAAGGGGGGCGTTTCCCCGGTGAGCTCCAGGAGGGCGGGGCCTTGGTTTTGTTCACTTGGTATCCGCAGCCCCTAGAACTGTACTAGCAGGGAGCGGTACTCAATAAATGTTGGATGGATGAATGATCACCCCTGTGCTCCGTTTGAGGGGGGGGGGAAGGGGGAGGTAAGGGTGGAGTGTTGGAGGTAGGAAGCTGATATTTGTGCTGTCCGGAGATTGGATCCCGCTTCTTCCCTGAGCCTCAGCTGTAAAACGGGAGCAAGTGGCCATGCCTTGCCCGGTTCCCAGGTCTGTCGCGAAGCCTCAGTGAGAGAAAGTAGCAGTAACTAGGGTGGTACAAATGCCAGGCTTTTACTGCCGTGCTGCACTTCCCAAGCCTCTTCAAACGATCCTCTCCGGTGCCGCCTTCCGGGACCCCACACTGCCTCTCTACTTCCCCTCATGCCTGGGGTGCTCTCGACAACCCAGAAGTTAAGAGGTTGTTCCTAAATCACCATCTGCAACCCAGTAGTTTGTGGGAGGCACGAAGGTACGGGGCGGGCTCGGCCCCTGACAGGCTCGGCCCCTAACAGGCTCACGTTTGTTGCCCTGGATACGGGGCGGGGCAGGCCTCTGCCCGTCGGGTCCCGCGCGCACGCGCCCACGGCCACGGCCACGTCCTGCCGCGAGAGGGGGCGGAGCGAGCGTGTGCGGCGGGCGCGCGCAGGCTCCGCCGCTGAGCCCCGAGCCGCGTGCGCTGATCGGCGTCCGCGGCGGGCGGCAGCTGAGGTGAGGGCCGGGCCGGGGAGGTGTTCACGCTGGGGCGGCTCCACGCGCGCCGAGCTCCTGGGACCTCCGTCCGCCCGGGCGCAACCTCAGGGCCTCCCGCGTCCCCACCGTCACCCCCCGCTGCCCAGCCGCTCTTTGCATCTCGTCTCGGCCACAGCTCGCCCCGGCCGGTCCAAGGTCCCGAACGCGACCTTGGACCAGCCTACTATCCCGGATCACCCTCTGCCTCGGTCACGGGTGCAGGGCACGCCCGGAGGCAAGGGAGCCAGGGAGGGCGAGGGGGTGGGGAGCACGAAGACTGAGGCTAGAACCGTACTTTAACTCCGCCCCCGTCTCCTGAGGCCGCGCCTCGAAGCGTTGGCTGCAAACTTTTAACTTCCTTTAAGTTGCAGAGGTGCCTGGGACCCCGTGAGGTCGTGGCTGAAAAGAAAAGGGCTGGGTAAATAGGCGAGGAGAGGGTGAGCAGGGGCTGGAAGCCGAGAGCGGAGGTAGTGTCCCGTCCTTCCCGCGCAGGCCCCTCAGACTCCACGTCTTCCCGCGCCCCCCGAGTGCCAAAGTTTTGCTTGCAGCGGGCGCTTTAAGGGCGAGGCCAGCCGCCGCGGCGCACGTGAGCAGCCTCGGGAAGCCAGCGCGGGGCAGCCCGCCCAGACGCTCCGCCTGGGCCTCTAACCTGAGGAGAAACCGAGGCCCGAGAGGGGTCACAACCTGCCCGGGGTCAGCGGCAGGGGTTGTGTCACGGCCAGGTGCGGTGGCTGGAGCCCTCCAGGAAGAGGGCTCTCCAAGAACAGGGATATGTGAGCAGGGGTCTAGTGAAGAGCTGACATTTTTGAGGCGGAATTTGGCTTCTGATTTCCCTAAGGGGTCTGAGGGCATGGTGGAGGGTGCAACCTTGTGGCGGGGAGAGAGTTCTTGTAGAGGCCCCTGTGGACTTTCCCTGAAAAGAGATCAGTCAGGGCAGGGTGCCCGGCTCAGTGGTTATTTTCTTTCTGCCCCCAGCCCTGGAGCACTTGGAGCGTTTGGTCCCTGCCGTGCTGGATGCCATGAGTTGCTAAAATTGAGCCTGGCTTTAGAGGTGAGCTTCCCCAGCCCTTCTCCTTCCCTTTATCTTGAGAAAAGGGGAAATTTCCATTGCCCTGCCTCCTTCCTGGGCTGACCAAAGCTCTGCGGCCCCCAGGTACCTTTCACCCCTCTTTTGGGCAGTTTAGGAGGTGAGAGAGAAATGTGGGAACTAAGCTCCTTTCAGGAGACAGGGAGTGTGCAGCTGAGAGGATGGGGGTAGGTCACAGTGAGGGCTGATCACTCCCAAGATGAGTGGGAGCCTTAGATGCTGAGAGCTTCCAGCTGAGAGCCTTGGGTTCAGAGATGTCCAACGTGGATTAAATGCTTGGGCTTTTCTGGAAGTCTTGTTCCCAGGGAGGAGAGAGAAAGTGGATGTGGGGGCCTAGAATCAGACTACCTGGATTCCCATTGCCTGCATTTTGTCCAGGTGGCTCTATTTAGTACCTTTGTGACCTTGGGCAAGGCTCTTAATCTCTAACCACTTGTTTTCTGATCCATATCCACTTGGTTTTGAGGATTAATGAAGTATCTGTGTTTCAACGTTTAGACAGTGCCTAGCATATAGTAAGTACTAAGTGGAAGATTCATCATCATTATCATCAAAGAAAACAGGAGTGAAACTAGCTGGGGGCCAGGAACAGGGGTCAATGAGAAGACCAGTGTGAGACACCTCAAGGTCATGATGCCAAAGGTTTAGAAGTTTACTTTGCTTTTTTTGTGAGACAAACACGGTGTGCACATTGACTCCAAAGACAGTTTTTCAGCAAAAAATTTTGATACCCAGAACCCACAGGGAACAAATTATTCCATACAGCTGTTTTCCATAGGGTCAACATGTTGATTTTCAGCTCCTAAAGCTTTTAAAATTTTAAGTACTTGGGGTGAGAATGTTCTTCCAATGGGTCAGATGCTTCCATTCCTCTTTAAATAGTCTTCTCTGTGGTGCGATTTTTTTCCCCCCCTGGGTGACGCAGGTCAAGCCCTCTGTGTAAGAGGGTTAGTTTTCTGGCCCCAAGTTTCATGGAGTTCCGGGCAGTCTGTCTTGAATGGCTCATACACCAACCTATGTGTTGTGTCGCTAGGCCTGCTCTTTGATAGCTTCTCTGCTTTTTATTTTTTTCTCCCCTGAAACAAGTATCTTTATTGCTTGTACCATGCAAATAGCAAATACGGGAAACAGGGAAAGGCCACTGAGGAAGAGGGAGAATTGTCAGATAAATGACATACACAAAAAGGAAAAAAGACACCCCTGCCCTGCCCCAGCATACCTACCCCAGGATGGCTTCCTGTAAACTACCTAGTACAGGAGGTCAGGTGGGGAGATCAGAACCACAAAAACTGAATTCCAAATATCTGGAGATGTTGGGGAGAAGGGAAGGAAGGGGGAGGGACAGGGCAGCAAGTGGACCCCAGGTGTGGCTCCCTGCCAGGCTAGCACCCCTCCACCATAGG